CGAGGTTGTTCAGTAGCTAAAACCAGGCTCACAATCGTATCTAAAGTGCATTTAAGGTTATAAAATGTAATTCATGGTACAAAGACACTTTCTTTCAGTAGCATACAACATTGCACTAGCTACAGACGATTACTGTTTTAAAACGAAACGAGCTACAGCGCAATGCTGCATGTGAAAAGTTGTAACGTAAAGCACAATTCTGAAAGCTTCTTTCGCTATTTTGCAAGTGCAGTAAATAGTAACTAGAGTACAAATGTAACAGAAAAGATCTTTATCTGTGCTTATTGAAGCCTTCAAGAAGTCGGTTATGTTCCTCTGTTAACCTTTCGCTTGTTTGGACAGCGACTGGGCTTTATGTCACCTTGCATAGCTCACCAGCCAGACTAGATTCACCCTGTGCAGACTCACCTGATCGGGATTCAGGATTCACCTGATCACCGCACTGTCCGTTATAAGGAGGTTAAGTTTATTTGAATTTACTCTCTGGGGGCGAGATTTTATGTCCACTGTCCGTATTAGAGAGATTATAGAGGTTTTTATTAAAGAAAATATATGAGAATTTTGTCGGGACACTGGAAACTGTCCGTAATAGAGAGGTGTCTGTACCGTGGAGGTTCGACTGTACCACAACCGTAGACCGTAAAATTCTGAAGTCCCGGGGTGGGGCTTATGGAGGGACTTTAATGTACGGAGGGAAATTTGCGTTTTAAAATTGATTGGGCTAGTCTTACAGTTGGAAGGAAATTTAACTTTTTTCTTTGTTTTACGTTGTATTTGAGGGCAATTTTCCAAGTACAAGCCCCCGAGGGGCTTATATTTGGAGGGGCGATTTAACGGAGGGTTTTTTGCGTTACCGGTTTGGGGGGGATTGTGTTTGGAGGGGCTTATAATTATACATGCATGGAGGGGCTTTATATTTTCGGAAATTGACGTCATCTGCGATCTAGACAGACGGATGACGTCACGGGATAGTGGTGTTCTTTGTTTTTTGTCCAACATGGCGCGTGGGTTTGAAAATATTTGCGAGCTCTTTTTGAATTAATCAAGTGAAGTCCTCCAAGAAACTTTAGCAGTTCTTTAACAGGAGCTGTTTACATGTCAGAAAAACGGAGAAATCGAGACAAAAACAGTTCTTGGGGACGTAAAAATGTCAAAACTGGGAGAAATCCCCACAACAGTCAGCTGAGAACAGTTGCCATCCTGTCTCGTCGCTACGATGAAAACGAAAAGTGTTTGCGCGCTGATTCTGCTTGGGGAGTGAGGGCGTTACAAAACGTTCGAGAGAAACTGTCTGCTAGTAAGATAAAGGAGAAAAGAAGAAGCAGAGGCGAAAAGCAGCGTTTGTGACGTGGAAAAACAAGCACAAATCCGGGAACAGTAAAGTTGTACCAGGTAAGTTTGTCGATTTGTTTATGGTAAAAACGAATAGATTCCATGTTGCTGTGTGTCTGTTAAAGTAATAGATCACGGAAGACGTCAAAATGTGGTAAAAACATCAGTGACACACTCGCCTGGGACTCGTGTGCCACTCCAACGGTTGTGGTAGAGGGTGGGGGGTATTCCCTGTCATTTGGGTCTGTAAAAAGGCCCAAAAACGGCCCCCCAAAACAACATTTTGACGTCCCCGTGACCTGTCACTGAACAGACACACAACACGATGGAATATACTTGTTAAATAAAATTTCTTTTTTCGGGTTAGTTTTAAAAGCCTATATAACCTTCATTACTGGCTTTTTCTCTAATTGAAAAATGGGACTAACTGCTGAATACCCCGCCACTCTGTACCACCATTGTTTTCGTTGGTCGGCGTTCTTTGAAGAACGAAGCATAACACAATAGATGCTATTCTTATTCAATGACATGCAAATAAGTGGCAGGGTATTCTGCAGTTAAGCAGAAAAATGTCTTAGGAGTGGACATGACACTGCTGCCACCAATAGTGATCTTCATTAGTAGCGTGATCACTTTTATTTAGTTATTTATTACCATTTAATGGCAAATACTAGAACAATAATAATGATAAATAAAAGCCATAGGGATAATTTGTAAAAGAGCAATGCGACCCAATGCACAAAACAAGTCACCTCATATAATTATAATGATTATGATAAATAATCAAAAATAAATAAAACAAAAATAATTATAATATCCCACAATAATTGTAATAATAACTCAAAAAATTGTGGTAAAGATCTTACACACTAACAGCTAAAAATAAGATAGCAATAAAAGTCATATTTACAATTTTGTTATAAATTTTATAATGTTAGATTTAAACATGATTCCAACACTGAATCACCAAAGATGGCTTAAACAAAAAAAATTCTTATCGTTTTTAAGTGGCATGATGACTGGTCAAAACGGGGCACTGCAGCTGGCCTGGGGTTTTTCTCCAATTAAGGGGCAATTGGACATGCAGGGAGATGTCTCACCCGGCTGTGGTGGTTATTACAGTCTAACCCTTTTCACCCTTTTTGGTCAAAATTTGCAATTTGTGTATTGTCAAAATGGAGCAAGAAAAGGTGTTTGGTGATATTTTGAAGCAAAGACAAGACAGCAAGATCATTTACCAAGATTTCAATTTTGGCTGGAAATTGTCTTGAAAATTTTGGGTTAGTCTTTGAATTTGGGTCAAAATGTGAACTTTTTTGTCATTAAATGGAGGAAGAAATGATGTTTGATGATTTTTTGAGAGGTGACAAGGCCTCCAAAAGACTATTTCTGGTGGTTTCAAGCTTTGTCAGGTATTGGGTCAAAATTTGTACATTCTTTATTTTGTGTATGATCAAAGTGGAGGATGCCGAGGTGCTTGGTGATGATTTAGAGCTGTCCGACACAAGGGCACCAATTCCATTTGACTACTGTATTTATTTGATTAACCGCCCTGGGCGCTCATTGAATTTTTGGACCTTGAGGGTGGGTGTTTATTCGAGGCTGGGCGCTTATTAACTTTTTCTGCCTTTAGGATGGGCGCTTATTTGAGGTGGGCACTAATATTTAGAGGTTGGGTGCTTATTGGAATAAATACGGTAATTTTAATTTTAGCTGGTCACCTCAGTTCCTGGAAGTTTTTCCAAAATGTTTAGTCTTTGAAAAGGATGTTTTTTTTCAGTCAGTGATGCAGGTGGCTCCAAAGAAAAAATCCAAGTTGTCCCAATGGGAGTCAAACCAATGACCTACTGGTCACTAGTCCACATGCCCTACCACTGAGCTACAGGAGACTCGTGGGAGCTAAGGCCATTAATCTAGGTTCCTGTGACAAACATCCATCATACTGCTAGTGTAGGATGTAGAAGTCAGGGGCTGAGACCCAAAAGCATGATGGGATATGGAAAATCCTGGTGTTGTGTACAGAAGTAAATACTTACTGTACAGATGCTATGCAATCGGCAAATAAAGTTAAAGGAAAGTGAAGATAACGTAACACTTGGAGTAGAATGTCGAAATGTGCTTATGTTCTATGATAAAGATGATATTAATGGTGAATTTTGAGCCTGGTGAATACACGAGAAGGTGTTTTTTCAGTTGGTTACACACTACAGGCGGCTTGAATGTGAAACATTTCTATCATTGTTGATGACAAGGTCATCAAGACCATTTTGAAATATTCTGATGTGGCTAGTTGCCATTTCAATTTTTTCAGGGGGTCAAAATTTAAGATTTGTTTCTATTTTGGTTTTTGTTGGAAAACAAATATTTAAAAAAAGTGATGTGTTTACCACGATTTGGATTTTAACTGGCAGCCATCTTCAGTTTTTCCTAAGGAGTTGGCCTATAATTTTGGGACAAAATTGTAGCCTTAATGGACTAGGATGATGTTTGAGAGTAGGTGAGAGGGCTATCAAGACCAGTTTCAAAGACCTTGAAATTCTTTTAGCTAGTTGCTGTGTTGGATTTTTCTAAAGCTGTTAGCTTATGATTTTGGATAAAATATAAAAATTTCTTTTATTTTTGAGCAAGGTAAGATAAAGGGCCAGTTATTTAACGGGGTTTAGCCACTATTTAACGAAACCGTGGTCTAAGCCATGTTCAGTTTACTCAAGGCTTTTATTTAAAAGCCGGCTATTGTGATCAGTTTCATGAAAGCAACAGGGAAGACTGGAGAACCATTAATCTTCTTAAAATAACCCACTTAGAGAGAGATCTGGAGGTCTAATTATTTCTTAAACCGTGGCCTAAGTTAGACTTTGTTTAAATAACCGACCCATAATTTTTTGTTTGAAAGCAGTCAAAGCAAAAAAGAAGGCAGTCCAAATTTTGACACAATAAGCAAAAATCTATATCTTGGTTAATGGTCTCGGTACCCTTTACCGTACACAAAAATAATGATAATGATAATGATAATAATAATAATAATGATAAATTAGAGTTTTGAGTCAGAAAGCAGAGGTTACAACCGCCCTTTTGGAAAAAAGCAGGGTGGCCGTTCGCCTAAGCCGACACCTTGGTACTGTACAGCCCCCGAAATGATACCGACCCCGAAATGATCCCCATTTCTCTTTACCTCGACCCTGAAATGATCCCCAATTAATTTTAGGAATGGAATGATATCCTAGAACTATGGATTCAAAATGTACAACATCATAACTTAAGTTTCACTTAAAATCTTCACTTGCCCACATTCTTTAATGACATGAATTTGGAATTAAACTTTGAACTGTATCTAACAAAAATATTATTTAATACACAAAGTCTAGTATATTTTTAGTAACACCATGAACTGCCACTGATAACATCAAGAAACATAACATTTTTTTTTATTATTACTTAGGTGATTATAGTCCGAGTTATAGAGACAACTGCATCATAAGGTGTTAAATTCTAAAAATGATGTTAAAACTGCATGCCTTGACTATTGAATATTAAAAATGGTGTTTTCACACTTTTTAAAATTTTAAAACGATGTTGAAGATGCAAAAGTAGACATAAAGGCGAATTGTCTTGAAAATTTTGGGTTAGTCTTTGAATTTGGGTCAAAATGTGAACTTTTTTGTCATTAAATGGAGGAAGAAATGATGTTTGATGATTTTTTGAGAGGTGACAAGGCCTCCAAAAGACTTTTTCTGGCGGTTTTAAGCTTTGTCAGGTATTGGGTCAAAATTTGTACATTCTTTGTTTTGTGTATGATCAAAGTGGTGGATGCCGAGGTGCTTGGTGATGATTTAGAGCTGTCCGACACAAGGGCATCAATTCCATTTGACTACTGTATTTATTTGATTAACCGCCCTGGGCGTTCATTGAATTTTTGGACCTTGAGGGTGGGTGTTTATTCGAGGCTGGGCGCTTATTAACTTTTTCTGCCTTTAGGATGGGTGCTTATTTGAGGTGGGCACTAATATTTCGATGTTGGGTGCTTATTGGAATAAATACGGTAAATTTTAATTTTAGCTGATCACCTCAGTTCCTGGAAGTTTTTCCAAAATGGTTAGTCTTTGAAAAGGATGTTTTTTTTCAGTCAGTGACACAGGTGGCTCCAAAGAAAAAATCCAAGTTCTCCCAATGGGAGTCAAACCAATGACCTACTGGTCACTAGTCCACATGCCCTACCACTGAGCTACAGGAGCCTCGTGGGAGCTAAGGCCATTAATCTAGGTTCCTGTGACAAACATCCATCATACTGCTAGTGCAGGATGTAGAAGTCTAAGGCTGAGACCCAAAAGCATGATGGGATATGGAAAATCCCAGTGTTGTGTACAGAAGTAAATACTTACTGTACAGATGCTATTCAATCAGCAAATAAAGTTAAAGGAAAGTGAAGACAGCGTAACACTTGGAGTAGAATGTCAAAATGTGCTTATGTTCTATGATAAAGCTGATATTAATGGTGAATTTTGAGCCTGGTGAATACACGAGAAGATGTTTTTTCAGTTGGTCACACTCAACAGGCGACTTGAATGTGACACATTTCTATCATTGTTTATAGTTTGATGTTTGGTGATTTTTTAGAGTGGTGACAAGGTCATTAAGACCATTTTGAAACATTTCAATTTGGCTAATTGCCATTTCAATTTTTTCCAAAGGGTCAAAATTTAAGATTTGTTTCTATTTTGGTTTATGGTGGAAAATAAATATTTTAAAAAGTGGTGTGTTTACCACGATTTGGATTTTAACTGGCAGCCATCTTCAGTTTTTCCTAAGGTGTTGGCCTATGATTTTGGGACAAAATCGTAGCCTTAATGGACAAGGATGATGTTTGAGAGTAGGCTAGAGGGCTATCAAGACCAATTTCAAAGATCTTGAAATTCTTTTAGCTAGTTACTATGTTAGATTTTTCTAAAGCCGTTAGCTTATGATTTTGGATAAAGTAAAAAAATTTCTTTTATTTTTGTGCAAGGTAAGATAAAGGGCCGGTTATTTAAACGGAGTTTAGCCACTGTTTAACAAAACCGTGTTCTAAGCCATTTTCAGTTTACTCAACGCTTTTATCTAAAAGCCCGTTATTATGATCAGTTTCATGAAAGTCACAGGGAACACTGGAGAACCATTAATCTTCTTAAAATAACCCACTTAGAGAGAGATCTGGAGGTCTAATAATGTCTTGAAACCGTGGCCTAAGTTAGACTTCGTTTAAATAACCGACCCATAATTTTTTGTTTGAAAGCAGTTAAAGAAGGCAAATTTTGGCACAATAAGCAAAAATCTGTATCTTGGTCAATGGTCTCGGTACCCTTTACCGTACACAATAATAATAATAATGATAATGATAATGATAATAATAATAATAATAATAATAATAATAGTAATAATAACAATAATAATAATAATAATAATGACAGATTAGAATTTTGAGTCAGAAAGCAGAGGTTACAACCGCCCTTTTGGAAAAAAGCAAGGTGGCCGTTCGCCTAAGCCGACACCTCGGTACTGTACAGCCCCCGAAATGATACCGACCCCGAAATGATCCCCATTTCTCTTCGCGTCGACCCTGAAATGATCCCCAATTAATTTTAGGAATGGAATGAACTATGGATTCAAAATGTACAACATCATAACTTAAGTTTCACTTAAAATCTTCTCTTGCCCACATTCTTTAATGACATTAATTTGGAATTAAACTTTGAACTGGATTTAACAAAAATATTATTTAATACACAAAGTCTAGTATATTTTTAGTAACACCATGAACTGCCACTGATAACATCAAGAAACATAACATTTTTTTTTATTATTACTTAGGTGATTATAGTCCGGGTTATAGAGAGCACTGCATCATTAGGTGTTAAATTCTAAAAATGATGTTAAAACTGCATGCCTTGACTATTGAATATTAAAAATGGTGTTTTCACACTTTTTAAAATTTTAAAACGATGTTGAAGATGCAAAAGTAGACATAAAGGCGGTTAGATGACAAAAGCGCTAAAAAAATCACATAAACTGTAGTGAAATGTTAAATGCGATTCAAGAACGTAAACGCTGCAACAGACTTGTAACAATTCCGTGACGGAATACCATTCCATTCGGGGGCTGCACAGTACTCCTGTCCCTTTTCTTCGTACGTTTTTACCACACACAAGAAACCGAGGACATTCAAAATGTTAAAATAAATTTCAAATTTTGAAAAAATGACAGCCAAAATCGAAATCTTGGTAAATGGTCTAAATGCCGTCTTCCAAACGTGATAGTTATGGACAGCGAATGGTACCTATAAATTCGGGAGTATCGCCAAATATTGACCCGACCTCTAAATCTCATAAGCGTTTGTAATGAGATTGGAGGCTCGTTTTGTATATTCCCTCCGCGTCAGAGTCTTGTAAGTTGAATGTGCACTGAAAATAACAAGGACCTCTCCTTCTCAGAGTTTGTCATTCGCCAGCCTTTAAATACCTTAAGGCGTCTTACGCTTATCATACAATTAGTGGCGAAAGTTTAATGCTACTGTTCATTTCCTTTAGTCTACAAAAGAAATGCTCCTGCCCTTAACGTGAAACTGAAAGGAAACACGTCCCAGGAGAAGGACAAGAAGGTACCATTTAGTGTTATTTTATTTACTTATTGATACTTTTTATGGCATGAAAAAAAAAATGCTCACTCTCAAAAACAAGTATGGAAGGCAAAAACCCATTGTTCAGGGTCTGGAAGGGGTGGGGCTGGGGGGTTCAGTTTTGCGTTTAAATCCCGAATGCCGAATTCTGAATCCCGAGAATACCGTTCCAGACCCTCATAATTGGAGATACGCAAAAAGCATACCACCGCAAATTGCAACTGAACAAAATAGAAGGACAGAAAGAAAATAGAACAAAATGGGAACTAAAAAATGAAATTACAATTAAAAATAGTATTTCGAATCAATTCCCTCCCCCCCACCATGCAAACGTCTATAAATTTTCGCAGCTTTGTGGAGCTTTATCTACGCTCACGTAAGGCTTCAAACTTTACAATTTAAGGGGCTTTTTCCCGTGGTGTGGACGGATTTTCCCAAACTGGCCCATGTCAAAAGTTGAAGAAAAGTTGGAAGGGTCTATTCAAAACGTATATGAAAGAAAACAAATCGGTGTTGATCAGAAAATCGCGAGAAAAATCTAAACTCTTTATAACCTGTTTTTAAAACGAACTTTAGCCGGTGTTTAGCAAAACCGCATTAAGACGTAAAATAATTAAAAAGAATTTACCGACAGCAGTGTCAGTGTAGCATGAATAGAAAAACATTTATCTGGTTCAATGATTGGTCCAATGATTTTCTTAAAACGAGGTCCAAGTTAAGTCTGTTTTTCCGACCTTGAGTGTTCGAAAAGGTTCGGTTAACTTCGGATGTTTTCGGCAATTTAGCATGTTAGATTTTCGTGCTTTATTTGTATAAGACTTGTTTGAACTATAATTAAACTTGACATTTTATCAATAAAACTTTACTCTTATTGAGTGTCTCAAGTATACCCTTAAGGCAAGAAAACAAACTTTTTTTTCTGGTATTGCCGTGCTTTTTTTAGTGATCGAATCCTTGTATTATAACCTTTGCAAAATGGTGTTTACTCCATTTTATGTTTTCCTTTGTGGCAGGCATGATTGTGAAGGCCAATAAGTGTTTTATTTCACACCTCTATAATTCTAATAAGTTAAGAATAAAGAAAGAGCGCCTTTACATCGTGTAATTAAGCACAACTTTATTAGTATATTTGAAATGACTTTGTAACAGATAGTGGCTGTCCGGCTTAGCAGGCAGTCCGCTGCTTATATCTTCGCTGGCCGTGTCTTCTAATTCTCGGAATTAAATCTTAACGTGACAATAAACAAAGAAGAGAGATAGTGATTTTTAAAAAGCATTTCCTCCATTTGTGGTTGAAACTTCAAGAATTACGAAATGAAAGTTTGTATATTAAAACGTCAACTGAATCGCATCGAGCGGCGGCACTTTCAAAGACGGTGTCGCTCAGCGTTTAATAACGAGACAAAACCTGCCGCTCTGCGTGCTATAGCGTCAAAGAAGGGACAAATAAAACTGCCATTCACTTAAGCAAACAAAGAATAAACAATAAAATTGTGGCCGGACAGTATGTAAGTCCTAAAAACAAACTTTCCCGCTGCGAGAAAGTGTTAACCAAATAAAGTCTTTACCGAATTCTTTGATCTGTCTACAAAATTTTAAGAGTTCAGTTTCCAATCTTTGGTTAGAAAAGATATGAATAAACCATAGACGGTGGCTCTTTAAAGCGCGCCTTTCACTGCATGCTGTCGGACCGCAGTGCACAACTTTATTAGCTTTTCTAATAATCAATTTCAACATCCTTATTTTAATTAACGTAGGGTGGTGTAGATTTTTGGAATTAAAGAGCGCGCCTCATAAAGGACTCATATTGATTTTTACTGAGCAAATATTTTCCTTCGGAATCTTGCCGACAAATAGCTTGTAAAACTCCGTCAAAACAAAACCCGTTATCATTTTTAAGGTAAAGAATGTCGAAAACAGGGGTCTTAGGTTTTCAGCGTTTAGTAAGTTTTGTTTCCGTCAATGGGCCTTTCCTTTATTCTTTTCCTTTTAAATAAAGGAAAAAAGACTGGAAAAGACGGCACTGATTGTAAACCCGTAGCTTAATTACACGAAGCATCCTTTTTTTCCGGTTTGTGCTTTCATAAAGGCCAGGCGGCCCGGCACCTCCGTTAACCTTGAGGGAAGAAATGAATTTTCTAAACATGACGTTGGCTTACAAAGCACCGCCGGCCGGTTCATTGTAAAATACCGCCCCCACATAATTATTAGGGCCTTTTTAATTAAACTGTGATCTTAATACAAACTTCGAACACGCACAATTTCCAATGTTGATTTTCTGAAGATTTGTTGTTTTTTCTTTACTTTCGGTTAGCTTTATACAGCTCTGAGCAACCAAGCTGACAATCTAGCCACGTGTGCTGTTATTAAAAAGCAGGCCTCTTGTTACCAAATGTTTATCTGTGGTCGTTTAGTTTAACCAAAATGTCTATTTAAAGAAGACTGTAGATATTGTCTGCGGTCTGTTCTAATGGAGGAATCTCTTGCTATTTCTGAACGACTCTTTAGTCATACAAATTAATAAAAGCATATGATTGACGTGAAATACATCTGGTTTTGTTCTAAAATCCAGCTGATTATCCCAAATGTTATTTTATATCTATTTTCCTCATGCTCCACCAGGGATTGTAGTGTCTGTTTATTTGAGGAACATATTTTAGCTTTATCAAGAGTATTGTTTCCGAAACATAGTTGTTTTTAGAGACTTGCCAGCTTACAAATTCTATTTTGAGGGCTTGATTTTGGTAATTCCTAGACAAACACACTCTTTCTTCTTCAGCTTAATGCCTCTTGTCACAAGACGCACGGTTTGTCACAATGTCTAAGAACAACTTATGCTGGCAAACGGAACAATTTATCTCTCTGACACTGGTTAAATTTGTGCGTCTTCAACTTTGAAGTACTTCCGAGCACATGCATCAACGGGAGATAAACAGAGCTCTCGAAAACAGAATTAACATGTGGTCATACTGACCCCAGCAATTGAGTTCGCTTAATTGTTGTTTAAAGGGAAAGAACGATTAGTAAATCGAAGTTTTTGATAAGTAGAAATAATCAGAGTCATTTAACATTTTTTCACCTCTCTACAGACCGAACTTTAAGTCCAGTCTAATAGCAACCATAAGAACCTGTTAGTCCAGAAACGCGCCAATATATTTTTGAAAGACTGGCGAAATTATCTTTGGGTAATAAAGAAGCAAGCATACGGCTAGGAACTCCCACGCATGCGCACCATCAATGGAAGAACCATGACGTGACCTGCCAAGTGGTTAATTGCCACTTGGTGGGAAAGAGCGGTAAAACTCAGCCTAAATGCTTTTATTGGCAATAACGTTGTCGTTACGAACATGTCATGTTGCTTCATTGAAATAACTTAGGGGGGGTTCGTAAGTAATTTTGTTTCCTCTCTCTATTGCCTTATCTACTTGTCATTTTCACCGGAGGTGATTTTAGCGCTGAGGATTACTGGTAGAGAGCGTTAAAGGGCCTCTATGAACTGGTGGTCCAAATAGAATATTATCATTTTTTATTAAACGGAAAATAATTTGAATTCTTTACCGGGAGTGAAGAACATTTTAGCATTCTCTAGGAGGTTATTTTTATATTTTAATTGACACTCGGAAAGTATACTACCCAAGTTATTCCTTTGTCTTTCCTTTTTTTAAAGAAAATAAAACAGAGAAACCGTATTTTAGTGTTAGTTTCGTTTGGATTGCTTCTTTTTCATTCCTTTGCTGAATAATATCTTAGATCTTTGTCTGCAGCGTTTGAGACGTAAGAAATTGGGGTGTGGCCTACTACGGTTTGGCGTAATTTCATCTCTTTTCCTCTCCCAAAAATATTAGCGAATGAGGCAACCGTTATTTAAGAGGGGCGTACTCATCAACAAAACGACCACGCTGCGATTAAATTCAAACAGGTAGCGAGACAAAAGTTCATATGGGCTTGAAGCACTGCAAAGTTTATTAACAAATTATTAAGCTTATAGTCGGCGAGAGAGTGCGTCAAACTTCAAAGCACGCCGCTAGAAGACCAGGACAAAGCTAGTTATTATTAAGTTATCCCCTAGCTGGTCGAGGCTTCAGGTTCATCAAAGCCAGCTAAAATCTGCTCAAAGTTTTTTTCACAAGACTTGTGCACAAACGTTTTTCTGGGCTTCGTGAATTTCTCGTGAACTTGCCAGCTTCGTTTTAGACGTGAGCACAATGCAGCAGAAACGAGGGAATTGATTAAATTTTATCGGCCATTTTCATGTGCCCCGAAGCGCGAAGCTACAAAAGGTTGCGACAGGCTTTTTTTAATCAAGTGCTCGGTTATTACTCATAGATCTTGATTGGAGCAATGCGTGCCGCCTGGACGTGTGTATCCCTCCTATGGCTCAACCCGCCAAACAATATGAAAAAATGAAACAATACGGGATACTTTCTACTATGATGGCTTTTTAAAGTCATAAACATGCACTGCGTTCGCTGAATGTTAACGCTTTTTAACGCAAACTTAGATCAATCGCCTATGATCGTCTGAGGTTGAACAAATGTTTAGGTTAGGGGATGGCAGTTTACAGAGTAGCTCTCACTGTTGTTTCAGGAAGAAACCGCACAGTTTCCAAGGTAATAAGTGTTATCGAGACGAAAAGATCGGAGTGGGAAAAAGAATTATCCCAGCGTATCAAAGCGTGCGGATCTTTGACTTTTCTTTTCATTATTTTATTTTAGTTGTCACATTGTACATAGTACTTCTTTGTCACTCATTTTGATCCATTCCTCAAACGAGATAGAACTGTTAAATCTCGACAAATATTTGCTCTATAGTTTCGGGCCGATATAGAGTTTCTCTCATGCACTTGTCTTTTTCCGTGTTTACAGGTCTATAATTCAGGTAATAAAATTTGAACTCACTAAGAACTGAGATTTGTCATAACTTTGATTTAGTTGTAGTAATGTGGCCGTTTTTTAAAGAAACTCTAGGTTTCTACGGGGATTATAGACTAGTAAGCAGGTTGTTATATCGCAGTTCAAAGCTGTTCATAACTGGGTGATCATACAAACTATTTCACATAACAAAACGTAATAACCACGTCTACTTTTTTTTTCTGCAAAAGTTTTAATCGAACAAAGTCGGCTCGAACCCTGACTATCTTCTCGGTAATAGTGAAATGTCAACAATCCTGTCTGGAAACAGATTGAGCTAGCTGCTAAACAACAGCTGCATGCATGAAGCGGAGAACAGCAAGCAAATAGACAAAACAGAGGTGATGAATAAAGGATTTCAAGATTTCAGACTCGCTGGTTTCAGGTGTTTTTTTCTTTTGTTTGGCGGGTTCTTAAAACATTAAACGCCCAGCGTATTTTATACACGATCTGAGCAGGTGACGCGGACAACATAAAGTGCCAATTTTTAAATACACTCCGGCTCAGAAAATGAATGGCCCAAAATCTACAGTTCAGATATTTTAGTTTTTGCAACGCCACAAATGACATTCGATAGTTCCCGAGGCGTTCCTCGATATGGAAAATGTTTAAAACCAATAAATTTATATATAGTTCACTTTTAAGTACTCCCTCTAGTACAGGGTTTTATATTTTTTTTCTTCCCTTGATGGATGGCCTGTCCGAATTTTAGTCGATATATATCTTTCCTCTGCCATGAACTCCAAAACTCTTTTCATTGACGCAGTACACTGAATAAATATATTTTATTTTAAGAATGAAATCAGCAAAATGGACAGACTTTAGGGTTCTACAGTGGAGTTTAATATTACAGTTGATTAGTTTTTCTTTTGTTTTTATTTCTACTTACACTGCAAACAGGAAAGCGGATCAGGCAAAGATAGATAGACACAGAGCTTACTTTTTATCAATATTAGCTTGGTTTTGTTTTCCTCCATCTACCTCCCCTGTCGTTGCTTCTTTCAAGGGCGAAGGGGTTTTCAAAACGGGTACATTTAGTTTAGGTAATTTTTCATAGAAGTAGGCCTGTGCGGAAAAGTGAAATAAAATTGGTTTATAACAGACAGAAAAACATGAGTTTTTTTTCATCTCTATCATGACATTTATACTGTTGCCTTAAGCTGAAAGCAAAGCTGTTTTCCTGTATTGATCTTTATTAAAGGGTTTGTGCTTTAAGCGTAAGGATGAAGAGTGGGTCTTACAGGGTATAAAAGCTCGAAAAAAAACTCTTTGCTGTAAGTTGTGTTCTATTAACCAACTTTTCTTTTAGTAAAGCAAGGAGCTAAGTTTTGTAAACCTTTGTCAAGCCAACGAATTGCCCGAGGATGATGGCTTATTCATCGCGCTTCCTGGAGGTTTAAACAATTGTTCATACATCTTTCTTGACGTGTTGTGTAACCCAAAAAAGTACGTTGATAGACGCATTTCAAAACCTGGAAGGGGATAAAATAAACATAAAAATACACTCCAAAATGTACAACCAGAATGTGTCGCACCGAAAGCACGAGTGAGATCGTTTTATGTGAGCTTGCAATTTTCATGACGCAAATTAAACTCGAATTGGAATAAATCTTTGACGTTGCAACAGGATTTAATGTTTTCATATTAAATGTGGCTGTTCCTGAATTAAATATATTTAGTTTCAGAGAAACATTGATTTTGATTGCTAGGGAACAAGTTGAGTCAAATCGGTCTAAGTAATTTTCATATAAAGCAGAATAACTATGTTATAAGCGGATAATTGAAATGTCAGAAATTGATCAAGAAATTGTGTGCAAATTTATGGCGCAAACTAAGTGTGGCTAAATCAATATTAGTTTTGCTTAATTCTTCGTCATGAATTAACTCTTTCCGACATTTAGCTTGAAGATTGGCATAATTTCCAGTTTATGAAATGACTTTGATATCAGTCCTGTCAAGTGAGTGTTCTGCGAAATTGCAAGTTAACATGTTGAACCGGAGACACACGCTAGTAGAACTGCCTCAACTGTCAATGATATGTGCTACGTCAATTTAAACTTCACCCACGAGCGATAAATAAATCATTTCATTTGCGTTTTGCAGTGAAGTTTATTTAGTTGAAAAAGAACTGAAAAAATGGGCTGGAAAATTCCCCAGCCAGTATGCCAATATCGAAAATCCGTCAAGTTATACTAATTGCATGATGAAGCGAGAGATGAAGAATACCGTTCTTCGAATAAGAGAGCAGCCTTCGTTTTCTTGCGAAAGAGCAAATTATTCGTAGCAGGGTAGTTGTATATATGTAACTCGAAACAAACATTGAATGAAGGCCCTCCATCGCTACGTGGTAGGCACTTACCATGAAATTAAAGTCTGAAAAACGGACGAGGAGGAAGTATCAAGTTCTTTACAACTAAACCTCTTTAAGGTTGTTGAGGCAACCTTGACTTCTCTGTTCTAATCATCGAAATCAAATAAAATTCTCTGCATGTGCTATTCCTCTCCTAGCAACTTTGTTTCCGACGGTTTACGTTGATGTACTGCTTGTCATGTTTCTGCTAAATTCTGCCTTGTGGAGGTAGCGGAGTGCTTTTGTTAATGGATGAAGAGGTCGACTCTTGGTTGTTCTGTCTCGTAGAATTCGTCGAATGTAAGACTTTCTAAAGTTCTATTTCCTTAATGTAGACGCCAATTTTTTTATTAAAGGTAATGACTTATGTTAAAAGAAACCATGCGGCAAACTGCCTAGTGTTTTGGATCCAGATCAATTAAATAATAGCAGTACTATTTCTGTTTCGGCAGTAAATACTGTCAAAGAAAAAGGAATATTTTGGACAAACACGTAGATCTATCCAGCGAAAAATGGTGTAAAATTCCCCAAAAAGCATTTATCAAGCGGGGTGTTAAAATAAGTGCATTTAAACAGATTGGCACTAAATGCTTTTCTACCAACTCGGAAAAGTAGTTTGATAATAATTTCTATATTCACTTAGGCAGACATCGATTTTAAGCCAGCCCAATTATTCCCTTCTCCTCGCACAATCTGTCTTCTTTCTGGTGATGGTATCACAATCGACACTAACAATTTTACAAATTGGCCTGTAACTTCGACAACAAAGAAGGTGTTGGGCTAATTTTTTGGTTCACAAAAAGCTACATTCTTGGAACAACGGATGTAAGTTATAGTTTATCTTTTCTCTTCTCCAGGCGGTCGTTCAGTTTTCTCGCTTCTTATTTCATTTGCATTTTAGTCCGTTCTCCCCGACAAAACGTCAAGAGTAAACACAATTTTGTGGCAGTAGTTACCTGTTGCTAGAGTGTTCATGTTAAAGGCTCTTTTTTCCAAAATGAGATGTTCCTTTTAGTGCTTCACACCGTTCTAGTGCGAAGATAAAACGATTTAGAAGCCACTATCTGAGCTCATGACTTTAGCCTGGGTATATATCTCCCGTCTGTTATGAAAGTAGTTGCGAAAACAAACTTAGGTTAATACGTAATCGACCTTACCGTCTATCAAAAAAATTGGCAGCTAGCTTAGAGTGCATAGAGATAGTTCCGTCTTACAGGTTTAGAGAAAACGAGAGAATACCAAAAATTCCTTTCAAATATGTTTACTTTAAGTCTTTACATAGAGTGACCGAACGACATGAAAAATACATAAAAGCTAAGAGCTTCACTTGTCAAATGTTTACCGAATGTAGAACTAGTTAAATACACGGCATAATCTAATCAGAGAAATACTATCTGTGCCTTTTAGCGCATTCAAAAAAGAATTAGTGTTTTACAATTACCGTCTTTAAGAACGACCTCAAAAGCGACCATTCTAGTCACCAATGTTTACTTTACATACACAGTACGTGATTTAGATCATCAAATCAAAACCCATATAAGAAACGCTAAAATCATTTAATTCGCAAAACTGTTTTTCATTTTAATCATGTACATATAATTTTCTTACTCGAGGAATCATCATTTTTACATCATAAAAATATATAATATGCTTATAGTACAACTATGTTTAAAGGATTTTTTAAGCCTCGTATCTATAAAGGATTTTTTTCGTCGATGCCCTGGTACTTTTAAGCGAGCAAACATCCTCTGCTACAGACTCTACATGTTCGGTATCTCGAAACATAAACGCTAAAACAAACATGGGCTTTTCAAACGTAATTTGTTCAAGTATCAACCTTAACTTTTAAATAATCTCTTAACGAACTAAACGAAGAGGAAACGCGTCTCTTTTCTCTGATTTAAACGGGTTAAAATTTAACACCTCGAAATCATACCTTGTTCCAAAATTTTCCGTACCAGCGCAAACAATTCAGAGTCATTACAAAGTTGTTCTCTGCAGCGATAAATTAAGAGTTTTTGGCATTAAATATAGATGCTTCCTGCAACGGGGCAACGACTCTGTGCATACGGCCTTTCCATCACCGAAACATGCTTTGCGGGAGGACTGCACTTGTTACTGGAACTGTTGTGTAAAAGGGCGCAAGGTCTCCAGCGTGATAAAAATGCTGCCCCAGTCTTGCAATTTCGTACTCTTTTAATTGTTCATGATGGGCGCATGGTTTGGCGAAATACGAAGGAACAGGGGGCCAGAGGTTTCCTTGATACCCCGGCGGCAGAGCTGAGCTGGAATGAGGGTTCATACACGAAGGACAGGTTGGTAGAGAGGGAATTGAGGCAGTCATGGTCTGACAGGACTGGACGCTCTTCATGTCCGACGCTATTAGGTTTTCTATGTTGAACGGGTGCTTGAAACCTGATGGAGTAGTATCAAGTGGTGAGATGCAGCGCACAGGATTGTCGTCTTTCACCTCGTCCTTGCTCTCATGAGTGATGAGTTTCACCATCTTTGTACTCCTCTCCTTCTCTGACTTAAAGCGTTTTCGCCGACGCAAGAAGCTGCCATTTTCGAACATGGCTCCGCAGTCTGGATGAAGAGCCCAGAGGCTTCCCTTACCAGGCTGATCGGGTCTCCTGGGTATTTTCAGAAAGCAGTCATTGAAGCTCAAGTTGTGCCTCAGAGAGTTCTGCCAACGCTGCGTGTTCTCCCTGTAGAAGGGAAAATGATCCATAATAAACTGGTAAATTTCGCTGAGCGAGAGCATCTTCTGTGGAGAGCTCTGTATGGCCATTGCAGTCAGAGATATGTAGGAATAAGGAGGCTTAGCGCTGCCGTAGCTATTCCTTAAAGGTCTTGGCATTGCGAAATCTTTCCTTCCTTATACGTGTGGAAGCCTACGACAGTAGACAACAGCAGTGTCATACAACCTCAGTAACACTCAGAAATAAGATGCTACGCAGATGCAGGGTTTATGTACGCTGTCTTTGTGCGTACTTAAGCTATCGAAATAAATGGCATTGGCTAAACACACCGACAAACTTCAAAAATTCTCTTTGTTTGTCGCCGATTGTGTGTCCGCCGTGCAACGCGCTTGCAATGTCACAGCACTGTTGACACAACAGGTCGGCAGGCTGAAGATTTCTATTAAATACAGAATACCTAATTAGCACATGTCTATCAAACCGAAACTTATCCAAATTACTCGTTAATTTTCTTATTGAAGTTTGGCCCACAACAAAAGGCCGGCTTTCATAATAGTTTAAATAAAATATTCAAATTCGGATCATAACTACCTCACGTGTCACCGCCCGCGATACTTCACAAAGACACCGTCGTCTCTCTCGAACGCACAGGAAGTGAAACATTCGTCGGTCTTAGGCGGCAATAAAAACTCGTAACACGGGCTGGTAACTTCGTTTTGTTTATGCGCGCCGCATTGCAGCCATTCTGTTTTGTTGACGAGGCTAATTAAAAAAAGAGAGTACTTGTAAGTGCTTGCGTCTACAGCCCAATCAGAGATAACAACTCCATGTTTCTTTTTATAATTTTCGTCTAGCACCCCTGCGCGCGATATAGGGATCTACATAAACACTAGTGTTTTCGTTTTATGGTTGATGAGTCTTCCCTAGAGCTTTCCGGATGTCAACAGTGGCGGTAAAGACCTTTCCTTTAGGCAATTTAAAGTCTTTGTTTAAGACTTGTAGTCGGACGTTTTTCTAGTTGACCGTGCACTCTTGTCTCGCGAAAAATAAAGCACCCGTAATAAAGTTTATCATAACTTTTTGTCTTATTACTTTTTTTCATATTAGCGCGCCTTGATTGAGGAACTCATTTTGCTGAACGCAAAGAAATGTCTTTATAACCTTTATTAAAGTTTCTTTCGGTCATTTCGGCCATACTTAATAACTTGAAGGCGGGCTGCGGCAAAGGGCCAGGTTAAAATTAAACTAATTTCTAAACCGTGAGATATTGAAAAATTTTAGGCGCCACCAAGTACTTTATTGCCTTTGTATGCATAACATGTAATGACTATCATTCATATGAACACATATATAGTTCTAAATATCCTTCCCTTAGAATTTCAGATTAAAAAATGTTTCCATTCTTGTAATGTTTTTATTTTGTTAGGATTTTGCAGTAATTAATGAAACAAAAGCATAGTTGAAAGATACAGTGGTTTTGCTTAAATGGTTTTGTGTATATTTTCTTTTCGACTGTCCTACCCATCATAAAGTTGGTTTTTCAAACGTAAATATTTTCAGTAATGTTCCCAAAAGGAAACCTTGCAAATCGCAGCCAGTTTAATATCTTATGTCAATTTGAAGTGTAAATTTTTCAATTATTTTTGGAGAGAACTCAGTCACCAGCCATATATACTTATCATAAGTAATTAATTTAAGGAAATCCAAAATGAAAAGGAGTCAATGGAAGAAGAGTAGTTTTACTAAACGTATTATCGAATAAACCTGATCTTTTCAACTATTTTTTCAAGCGACTTGGTGACATGCCTTTCAGTTAAGGTAGTGTTCTCGATGCATAAAAAGTCAGTAAAATATCCCCCCCCCCCGTGTGTTTTAAGTGTTTAGTGTTGTATTGAAATAAAACATTCTGACTGAAAACGCCGACAATCACAAGTGCCGATGACTAAAAACATTAAATCGAAGGTTCTGTTCTCAATACAATTGGGCAAAACATATTGATGTTTAGATTTAAAATGCAAACAAAGTACTTTCTTTCTCCTTTCAAGGGTTTGTTGTTTTATAATCGGGGCGTATAATCAATTGAAGAATACTTTTAAGATTCGTCATTAATGAATAGAACTCATAAACAGCCACTACAAAGCAAAGAATACATCATAATTTAAGTAAACAATCCTTTACTCACATATTAAAAAAGATCAATAGAACAAACAAGTTTATTGCATCTAACAACGGCAAGAAATTCATCACGTTGTACAAAATTGAAAAGCCAAATTAGTCAGTGCAGAATGGGTTAGAAGCGAAATTTTCTCAGTATGCTTCTTCAAACGATGCAGTTTGAGGCGTATTTGCCCGACCGTCAGTTATCAAATTGCAACCACAGAAAAAACTATAGAAGGAACAATTGAAACCATGACATATTAAAAGTCCTTTTCATGGAATGCTGTTACCAATATGTTCGATTTCCAAATAATTTGCAGGGGCCATTATTGTCGATCGAATATCGTCAAAGAACTAACCACAAAACTTTACGGTTTACGGTTGGTTTTTGGAAGGATAGGAGAATATCTCAGTTTTTATATACCTTGGTTTGAAGTGTTTATTTTGCCAAACTAAAAATCGACAAGCAAATCGTTCTTTACAATCGCTCAAAAGTTTATCACAAGTATTAAAGAGAACTCTAGCACTGATAATTCCGTCGAAGAAGTTTTTCTCAAAAACGTACATGGGCCGGCAAAAGTTTTATATAGGGTAAAGAGGCTAGAAGTAATCAGTTGTAATTCATTTACATGGCATTTCTCTTTGAAGGATTCATCTTGTTTTGAAAATATGGCTATGGTATATTCAGTGACTTTTTTTTTAAATTTACCATTTCTCAGAGCCCCCTACAGCTTTAGATGGTTAATTGATTGGTAAGATAAGAAAACGAAATTGGTTTCCTCAAGGGGACACTAATATGGACCGTGCACTTGTTCCCAGATTCAATTAAAACCCTATATTATTCAACCTTTATTACAAATCATGTGTTTTATGAAAATAATGGACCGTCAAAGCACACTTCTCACTCAATGATATATGCACCGATCCGTCCGCGGCGAGCACCCTATACTGTTCAACCTTTTTATTTAACAAATCATGTGTTTTATGAAAATAATGGACAGTCAAAGCACACGTCTCACTCTATGACATATGTATAGATCAGTCCGTGAGCACCTTCTAAAGCAGATACCTCAAATAGTCTTTCGGAAAGGAAAATAATTCGGTGGGCTCGTGTGTATTCTTCTTTGCTAGTGGACTGTATTTTATTCTACAAGAGGGATTTGTCTGACTCGGCTTTTGAGTTTTAAAGTTTATTTCAATCAATTTCTCACCGAGCAAGTGTCAGAAAAGTTTTCAATGGATTTAACTGTCATTTTGTGGATCTATTTGGCGTTGTTTATAAGTTTTGCTGCTTTAAAAATCAGTTTTAAAGATAGTTCCCATGGCATGCTTTGTTCAGTTTGTTTGGAGAGTCACCTCACAAATTCATGGCCATTAATGGTGCACAATTTCAACGTGTTTTTGTTGATTTTTTGTGATAACTTAAAAGCCCGATCGTAGTTTTCATACGTGTGCCCATTAGGGTATCAAACATGATGGAGAATCTACGCAAGGTTTCTCTAATTTAAAGTTGATAGTGAGTTTCCAAGGCTTCTCGTGTCTCTTAGAAAAATGTTAACCTTACTCAAGCATGTTTTTTTTTTCACTTACTAGGAACTTTTCACAAACCTTCCGTTTCTATAATCACATTTCCACCGAGTAATAGATAGCCAAAACTTAAGGCAGTCAATACTGCATGGCTTGTTATCTTTTTTTGTTCACCAATGAAGCCATCTTGAACTGATAAGCAATCCAGAACGGCGCAGGTGAAAAGGCTGTTTAACCCCTTTTGCTCCCAAAACTGCCAATCGTCAAAATTCAACAAAAACCCCACATTTGTGTTGTAAAACAGATAGCACCATGAGGAAGAATTGAAGAAGGGGTTTCATTCGAATGGTCACATCACAGGATTTTATTCACATACTCAAAATATATAACCTGAGGATATAATGAATCATAGGATTTCTTACAAAGAATTAAAACTAATACTGTAGAGTTTGATAAATTGAACTACAGCAAACTAGGAAGCGCAACACTGATTGTATGTTGTAGCTGGTGCTTGTGAGCTTGGGAAACAAACTATAAAGAATATTTCACTCCATTGGTGCCGAGGAATCTTGTTGACATAAAAGAATATTTAACAACTGCAATTGTCGCTATTCAAAGAATAATAACAGAAACTCTGAATAACGAGCGAGAACATTTTCAAGAAATTTTCTTCCTTTCTGACTAGTACAAAAGACCTCTTTCTCTTATTTCCTGACCTGAAGAAGTTTGCTCTTCTTATAATACTTGTGTATACAAGTGTATTTTGTTCTATTTAACATTACTGGTTTAAGATGTTTTACCGAAGACTTTATTTTCGATAAATTTATCGAAGATCAATGAAAAAAAAAGTGTCGTAAAACACTCGAATACCATATGTGTGTGAGGCATTGTTTATTGATTTCCCCAAAACACATGATAAGAGAAGAATAAAGTGCTGAAAACAAAGGATATAGACTGAAAACGACAATTTTTACCTTTGGGATATTTCGTTCCTCAGTCAACTTATGATAAAGCATTATGACAGCTTATTTGATGAGATAGTTCATCGGAGTAACGTGGTCGGGCACTTTTTTCGAGGTGAAACTCATAATGAGCAGTGCTTCAATTTACTGAGTTTGAGAGCGAATGCAATTCGAGAAGACATAAAAAGAGGACTCATCAAAATCTCGCCACCCGAGTGTCAATTGAAAGCTAAAATAAAACAATAAAGGTTCTTGTTGTCCAAGCTTCTTTACTGTACCGGGACTGTTTGACGTGCAGTAGGTTTCTGTGTTGGATTTCATGACTGACCACCAAACACCTCGATCGTATTTGGCGATCTTTTGTAGAGAATAAACCTGCGTGTCAGTAAAACGCAGTGGAGAGTCACGTGACACATGCCGAGTAGCTCTAGCTACATGAAGAGTCAACAAATAAATACAAGACGATCTTATGGCTTACCATCATAGAATCTTACATTTAAGAGTTTTTGTGCCCTCCTTTTGTTTTCAGCATCAAGTATCGATGCAATCAATATTTCTAACTTGAACGATCTGGGGACGAAATAGCTTTAATTTAACACTGACTGAACAGTGAAACCGATGTGGTTAAAACTCCCGCCTTGTACTTTTTGCAAAATGAACTTAAAGTTCGCTTCTACCGGCCACTACATTCTATACAATTTACGGGTGGAATGTTTAGGCACTAATGTCTAAATAAATTAAATCAAACCAATACTTACTTGTTGCCGCAGAGTTTGTTTTTGGTAATCAAACAAGATATTATTGAAACTTTTTCATTATGCTCTCTTGTGGCGGAAAATTGGCAAATACTGAGTCATAGTGTTCATTGTAAGTGAATTAAAAAAAGCTCACGTTTTCTTCGTTTTGCGGCCAAAAAACAAACAAACAAAGCGTCTGCCGCATTCTATTTTCATCGAATCTTCGGTTAACGAGTTAACGAAGAAACAAAGGAGAAACCACAAACAAGTAGGATGAAATTGGTCATGCGATCGGGGAAGCACGTAAAAAACTTTAAAAATGCCTTCATCTTTGCGACTCAAAACATTGGCACGTACACCCTTTTAAGTCATCAACATCACTGACTTAGAATTATTACTTGGAATTAGCTGCAGCGATTCTCTGGCTCTATTTTACCTTCACATGAATATCAGTTTTCACTTCCAGAAGTGGCCAAAGTCAAAATACGACAGATGTTCCAAACTTCAATTTTCCAAGGAGGTTCCATTTGAATGGTCCCACCCGCACAGTTTTTTGTACAAAGACTCAAAACGGTTAGAAACTTCATTCACTGTGCAAGTGAAAGAGAAAAACATACCTCTCCTCTGGTCTCTTTCTGTTACACCAATTCTCACAAAATTTCGCTGATACTGTGCCTTAAGTCAAATATTTAACATTCTTTAGGCACACAAAAATGATCAAAAATAACATTTAACATTTTCCATTTCTCAAAATGTCGGCTATCACGTGACGGTACGTAACACCAACTGGTAACCAGGGTGAAAAGGCACAAGCAACTGTGTGGAATATGAAGACGACCACATTAACGGACTCTAGTACCCCGCATAGCATCATACTTAGGAGCTGGTATTAAGTAAACATAATTGCTGCACATATTTTTAAGAACGTTGAATGCTCCGTAAAAGCAAATTTTTTTTCTCAAAGGGGATGGGTCAAAACAAGAGATCCCTTGGCCAAAAACGTGGAGTGAGAGGGGAAAAGTCTCAGTTCCAAGAAGCCAGCAAACAATCGCAGTCTTATGCCCATTGCAGCAAGGAACTACAATAAGATGCTCTTTCTGTATTCATCGAATAAGGCCTATGTCGGCTTTTGTACATGATGCTTTTTCCTTTCTAAAATGCTCCACTTTAAACTGTTTGCACTAAAATACTCGGTCGCCCCCCGCCAAAAAGTCATTAAAATGCTCGGATAATGCTCAGCGTATAATGTTAAAAAAAAAAACAGTTCTAAACGTTTTTAAGGTTATAAGTAAAAATGTATGAGCAGAATGACAACAATGTATATATTCTGGTTCAATTTTATCCTTGGTTTAATTTTTAAATTTCTTTTCTTTTGGGTATGGTGATGTATAATTAACTCATTATCATAGTCATTACCATACCCTAAAACAAAAGAAAATTAAAATTAAACCAAGGATAAAATTGAACCACAACATGTACAAGTTAAGAGTTGTCATACGGCAAAAAATGATCCTTTCCACGAATGTATCTTGGTTGAATTTAAATTTTTTTTTTTTTGAACTTCCACTTTAAATCATCCGTTTCTCTGAAAAATTTTTAAATTGTTATTTTATTTAAGAAAAATAGTAATTTTCCAGGAAAATGTCACTAAAATGCTCCAGAAAAAGGCGAGCATAGTACACAAAAGCCTAGCCGTATGTCAGACGCCACTGAAGCCTTCTGCTATAAATACTGCTTAATGATACAAGTTTAATAAATTTGTGTAAATTAATGTTAAAATACATTTCTAGGAGGACTTAAACAAGGAGTAGCAAGTACATTTTATAAAAAAGGATTGTATAGTCTATTAAGCGTCACTTTAAAGTCAAACTACATGTAAGATACTGATACAAAAGCAGCTTCAAATTGTAGCATTTTCGTTGTTTACTCAAAATATGTCATTTTTATAACAAGCAATTACAACGAATCGATACAGATAATTAACCTTAATATTCATTAAAAATACTTCGCGTTTTTCTGATTGGCTTTAATTCCCCCGGCTAATTCTTGATAGCTACAATCTTGGACAGAATAAAATGGAACAGCAAACCGCTATCCCCCCAAATAAAGGATGAATCCGCGCGAAGTGTAAACGCGCCCTTTTCCCATCTTTGATTGGGGGACGGGGGTCTGAATTTTCCATTTATTTTGTCCAAGATTGCTAGCTGGCTATTTATACTTAATGAGGACTAAAGATGTGATATACAGTCACTTACGTCATGTAAGGCACTGGTGCGACAGCATAGTTTGTTTTGCATGAGTGCAGGATTGAATTCGGTTGTCGTATTACAGTACATACCCGCGACTAAGAACCTGGTTTTAGAGAACCTGTTAGGCTAAAATACTTCAGTAGGCCCCCTCTAAAAACCTGTTTAGCCCAAAATTTTAAATAGGTTCTTATTTTTTGAAATCTACAAAAAAATTCTGTACACTTAGGCAAAAGGACGTCAAAATTCATGTGGTCAGTGCTTCAGTCCTTCTTCTCATAGTCATTTTTACATTTTACATAAATACTAATTTGGTATGCAGATTGTATATAAGGAATAAGGTTAATCACTTAATACTCATTGCCATGAACCTAAATAGCCTAAGTTTGTCCTAATTACCATTTATGTAAGAACCTGTTTAGGCTAACTTGGGAAAATCCAGGTTCTTAGTCGCGCGCTTTTACTGTATATGAAGGATTGGGGAGATCGGGGTGGATACCAGCCTCCTCGATTTGCATAATTAACAATAATACCTCGAGCCCTCATGGACTCTGAGTCAGTAGCCCATTCGGCCTTCGGTCTCATGGGCTATTGATTCAGAGCCCATTCGGGCTCGAGGAATAATTTTTTAGTAAAATCCCACTAGTTGGTCAAAAATATCGAGACAAATTACTTTTTAGCAAGCAAAACGCGAATCAGCCGCCATTGTTTTGGTTTTCAAACCCGGCGCTTTTCGCAACTAGCGGGGTATAACGTATAGCCTAGTAGTAGCTCAACCAATCAGAACGCAGTGTTGATAATAGACCTCTACTGAGTTGGATTTTACTAAATATAAATTATTCATATTATACGAATTCAATAAAAGTTAATTATCTGAAGCATTGAGCTCTTATCTCAAAGGGGATAATTTCAGGATACAAAAATGCTTAATTATTTCTTCGCCTATTTCAGAATTGTTCTTTCATTAGATTAATACAAAATTTCAGGAAGTCTTTAATATAATTCGAATAAATATATGACCAAAAATCATCCGTTTCTCTGAAAAATTTTTAAATTGTTATTTTATTTAAGAAAAATAGTAATTTTCCAGGAAAATGTCACTAAAATGCTCCAGAAAAAGGCGAGCATAGTACACAAAAGCCTAGCCGTATGTCGACGAACTATAGGTAGTCCTTTAAACAACCAGAACAGTTTTTAAAGAATGAGGTGCCTTACAAATTCACTGCGGCTTACAAATTCTGAGTAGTGTCCCGTCAAAGAACGTAGAAGTGAAGAAAGCTTAGGCCTGGAATGCTACAAGGAAGTTGGATTTCATTTGGTGGTCTACTAACTTGAAAGGGAGCTTATGAGTTTCATTCACTCAAGACAGCTGTGTAGAGTATACTGTTGTACGGTTTAGGAGTTTACATGCAAGTGTTCCAAGGACGGGGCTTTAATTAATCTTGAATTTCGCCAACAAGCAGTTAAACATGGTTTATTATGATCGTTTAGTCGAGAAGGCGTGTAGCCCAACGCAGACTAGTGTGAGTAAAGTAATGGACCTTTTTACGGTTTTTTTCAACTTTTGACATGGACAAGTTGGGGAAAATCCGTCGACACCACTGAAAAGAGCGCCTTAAAATTAGTAAAAGTGCCAGGTTTGAAAGTGATCTGTTAAAAACTAACGAAGATATATCCCTTCCAAGTCGCGAAATTTTACAGACGTTTGACGGTGGGCGGTACAAACTTGCCCCCCCTCCATACAAACGATTGTAAATTTTCGTAACTTTACGTAGCTACATCTTTGCTCACTTAAGACGTATCACTTTCAAATTTGGCAATTTTACTAATTTAAAGGCGCTCTTTTCAGCGGTGTCGATGGATTTTCCCTAACTGGTCCATATAAAAAGTCGAAAGAAATCGTGAAAAGGTCTATTATCTACCTAAAATGAACCACTTCTTATCAAATTTGGAGTTACATGTAGATAAGCCGCAGCTTATAGGTTAGCCTTTGTTCAACCTACTTGGCTTGCTCTATCCCAAAGAATCTCAAGAAAAACCTCGTGTTAAACGCGTGAGATGGAGCAGGAAAATACAACAACCACAAAGCTCCATGAACACTTGCTCAGGGTATCAGAAGTTATAAGGAGGAGAAAACTGAAAGCTACTAAAGTCATTACTTCACTGTTACACGAAAATGTATAAAAGGGGTTCTCTTTTTTCAACCAACACATTGCAGAAAGGCTTTGAGCATACCAACAAAAGAAGATAATGACCGTAGTGTTGAAGGACTAAAATTTCGCATAAAGAACTAAGAACTCAAAATAATTGAACAAAGGAGTTTAATGAAACAATCAACATTCCCGTGAAAGTTATTTTCTTAAAAGTTTTAATTACTGTTTGTTACAATTTGGTCAAGTGGTTTCGTCTAAAAAATAAGAAAATATAATGACTGGAATTTTCGAAGACCTAGTAAATTCAAAATTTTGGGCTTGTTTTCAATCATCCATGTTACCATGGAAACGACCCAAATCTCAGCTTTAACCTAACGAATGTAATATCTTATAAATATAGATTGTTTGTGCCAAATTTGAGCTTGACACCTCAATATACATCAAACTGTGTTCAGTAACCTGAGGATGATCAGTCTTATTTGAAGGGATTTCGTCCAGCATTAGCAACTCCTGTTAAATTTAAATGTTTGCTTTTTTTTAACGGTAATGTGCTTGACGCCACTGAAGCCTTCTGCTATAAATACTGCTTAATGATACAAGTTTAATAAATTTGTGTAAATTAATGTTAAAATACATTTCTAGGAGGACTTAAACAAGGAGTAGCAAGTACATTTTATAAAAAAGGATTGTATAGTCTATTAAGCGTCACTTTAAAGTCAAACTACATGTAAGATACTGATACAAAAGCAGCTTCAAATTGTAGCATTTTCGTTGTTTACTCAAAATATGTCATTTTTATAACAAGCAATTACAACGAATCGATACAGATAATTAACCTTAATATTCATTAAAAATACTTCGCGTTTTTCTGATTGGCTTTAATTCCCCCGGCTAATTCTTGATAGCTACAATCTTGGACAGAATAAAATGGAACAGCAAACCGCTATCCCCCCAAATAAAGGATGAATCCGCGCGAAGTGTAAACGCGCCCTTTTCCCATCTTTGATTGGGGGACGGGGGTCTGAATTTTCCATTTATTTTGTCCAAGATTGCTAGCTGGCTATTTATACTTAATGAGGACTAAAGATGTGATATACAGTCACTTACGTCATGTAAGGCACTGGTGCGACAGCATAGTTTGTTTTGCATGAGTGCAGGATTGAATTCGGTTGTCGTATTACAGTACATACCCGCGACTAAGAACCTGGTTTTAGAGAACCTGTTAGGCTAAAATACTTCAGTAGGCCCCCTCTAAAAACCTGTTTAGCCCAAAATTTTAAATAGGTTCTTATTTTTTGAAATCTACAAAAAAATTCTGTACACTTAGGCAAAAGGACGTCAAAATTCATGTGGTCAGTGCTTCAGTCCTTCTTCTCATAGTCATTTTTACATTTTACATAAATACTAATTTGGTATGCAGATTGTATATAAGGAATAAGGTTAATCACTTAATACTCATTGCCATGAACCTAAATAGCCTAAGTTTGTCCTAATTACCATTTATGTAAGAACCTGTTTAGGCTAACTTGGGAAAATCCAGGTTCTTAGTCGCGCGCTTTTACTGTATATGAAGGATTGGGGAGATCGGGGTGGATACCAGCCTCCTCGATTTGCATAATTAACAATAATACCTCGAGCCCTCATGGACTCTGAGTCAATAGCCCATTCGGCCCTCGGCCTCATGGGCTATTGATTCAGAGCCCATTCGGGCTCGAGGAATAATTTTTTAGTAAAATCCCACCAGTTGGTCAAAAATATCGAGACAAATTACTTTTTAGCAAGCAAAACACGATTCAGCCGCCATTGTTTTGGTTTTCAAACCCGGCGCTTTTCGTTACTAGTGGGGTATAACGTATAGCCTAGTAGTAGCTCAACCAATTAGAACGCAGTGTTGATAATAGACCTTTAGTTGGATTTTACTAAATATAAATTATTCATATCATACGAATTCAGTAAAAGTTAATTATCTGAAGCATTGAGCTCTTATCTCAAAGGGGATAATTTCAGGATACAAAAATGCTTAATTATTTCTTCGCCTATTTCAGAATTGTTCTTTCATTAGATTAATACAAAATTTCAGGAAGTCTTTAATATAATTCGAATAAATATATGACCAATAAATTCTGCCTGGTCTATAACTACTCCTTTCTATATTTTAAAATTCAAATATATGATAAGTACCCGCCTTTTTATTGTTTTTCCCTAACGATTGTTGTGTTGAACATGAGAGATGATCTGTTGCTATTTCCAGCTTGTTTTGTACAAAGCAAACTGCTGAGACATAACCTATTGTGTCTTATTTCGTACTTTTTTGGCTACATAAATTAGCAGCGAAATGTTTGAAGAACTTTTTCATGCAGAAGTACCAGACTTCGCGCATATTTCAGTGTCAGATGATGTAGTATAAAATAGTTTCTATAATATTCTATTTATTTAGCAGATAAAAAATTCGGCTTACTGACTCTTACGTTATAATTACAAATTTTGGAGGGTATTTTCACTTTAATGTCCTTAAGGTCAAACCAAACTGTTGTCATTGGCTTTTAGCTCTGATTTAAATCAACAAAAACGCGGGAGATGTAGTTGGTTTTGCAGTTAGTAACTAAAATAATGCCAAAATTGCCATCGATACTCGATGACCAGATTTTGTAAGCTAGACGTATTCCACTTCCTTAAATAACCAATGATAGCGATAGGAAACTAACAGAAGAATCTACTCGCGCTCAGCAAGCTATTTTCTCTTGACAGATTTGTTCTTGGTGATCTTTTTTTCCGCTTTACGTCGCTGTTCATACAATACAGCAGAATATGAGTAAGCTTTATCCTAAAATAGAAAATTGGCTAAAGTATAAGCCCCAAAGCGCGCATCTTAGAAGTAAAGTTCGATAGCAAGACGTCTTCTATAAATCTTGTTCTCAGGCCGATAATTTCAGCTTGCCCGAAAAAATGAAGTTGTCCAATTAAAGCTCACTCTCTGATCTCAATGAATCTCGAAGGAACACAACTTTTCTTGAATGGTAAGTCCAACGATATCCAGCTCTTATAGTAAGCAAATCGTCTTCTGTCGTCAATTTGTAGATTGGTAGATGAGTGTTGCAATTGCCCCGAAACCTACTGCTACAAGGCAAACCTTTTTCCACCATAATTTTTCTCTCTCTTCGAATTCTTCACCAAAGGTTTGGTTAAAAGCTTCCTGTTGAACAAAACAAGGACAATGACTCATCTTTACAGTGCAATTTTTCTCACCATTGTCAACAGTTTTTTGTCAAAAAAAATATATATAACTAAATAAAACAAATGTCAAAAATTGTTTAAGGCCAAAGGTAAAAAGGAAAATTAAAAAAGCAAACGATAGAACTACATAATTATAAACTGGTCAAAAAATAAGTACAAGCTGCAAGAAACCTTAGACAGGAGGGTAACCAAAAGAGACCCTCATAATCATATAAAAAATCAGAACCCGAAACAAGTACTGACATCAGTATCATACTAAGATCAACTAAGCAGATTATGGTATTGTTACTGAAAGACAAAGATCGGATTTACTACAGGGTGCAAAAAAAGTCAGTTTTACAGCCTACCATTCGGGCAAGCTGTAGCCAGCATGTACTAGCCCACAAGTCATTTCAACTAGCCCCAAAACCCTTTTTGATTAGCAGGATTGATTACAATCCTTCTGTAATTTGGATTTCCCAAAAAACAGAACTTGCCCATCGGGCAAGTTAAGAACAAAAATCACTAGCCCGATAGCAAAATCCACTAGCCGCGGCCGGCTATCGGACGCGACTTTCTTTGCGCGCTGTTACTGTTACTGTAAGAGTTTGAAGAGTTTGATTTTATCATAGCATACATGTTTCTTTCGAGGGTAACGCGTGGCCGACTAGCTATTATTCACGAGTTGTCTAATTCCGATTGTAAATGGTTGCTGTGGTACCAAATCCATGCAGGTATAGTAACACAAAGCATCTCCTAACTATTTGAAAAGCTACCTACATTTTCCAGATGGAAATTGCGGATGATCATTGAGAAAACCTTAAAAACAATTAAATCCAAGTTTATCTAAATGATGCATTTTATCAGCGTTGCATGGCAGATGTAATCGTAAAGCGGGTAATGTGTGTGGTTATGCAAAGCAGCTTTGACAAGGTGCAACAGCTAAATTATTCATCAGCGTAAAAATAAAAAAAAGTGGCAACTCGTTCTGCAACCCACAAAGGCCAAGGGCATGATTATTTCTAAAATACAGTATACTCTATCTTAAAGTTCTAATTTTTCTCGATGTTGTGATATTGTTATCGAAATCATTTTTCAGAAAAAGAAACTCGGAATTTTAAGAGCTTCTGCAGTGTCAGATCTGTTTTAAGATCTTGAAGGCGTCCCTAGTGATTTTCATTATCTTTGGATTAACATTTCTGCGGTTACATTTTATGAATAGCAAATAGGTTAACACACCCTCTCTTCCAAAACGAAACTATAAACTTACACTTTCGTGTTAAACACCAGGGCCGTTTTGTTCAAAGCTGGGTTAAGATAACCCAGGGTTAGTGCGAAATTTGAATTCAGATTTGAAAGCGTAAAAAGTAAATTCAGTTTTATCCTTTCTGTCAACAGGTTAATGATTGGATACTCTTAAGAATAACAGAGAAAATTATCCGAGAAAATGCTTTTGAGCAAAGAAAAAGAAAGCTGGGTTAAATTTAACCCTGGGTGAAGGGCTAATCGGCCTTCGAACAACTAGGCCCAGCTGAGTAAAAAAAAAGCATAATTTATCAAAATTCATGAAACGGTGGGAACTGTCTCCAAACTGAGTGAAACGAGAAAAGAACCACTCCAAACATTAAAAGAAGTTATAACACAGCAAATACAAATGGAGAAGCGGATGGATAAACTTGAAGTAGATTGAAACACTGAATGCAATTGTGGGTTTCCGAAAACTTGTTAGCCTTACAGTTTTTCAAAGTTTATTTTGTTGTTTGTAAAGTTTGATGTAATGCTCTGGAGACCGTCGTATTTGTTTGACAAGAAGCTGTAATTTTCTCATTTCCAAGTAATTTCTCAAGTTCCAAAGCGAATAAGGACGTGTAATTGAATTGGTATTATTAACAAAATACTGGTAGACAACCGTGACACTGCAGCCCCCCCGGGGGGGGGGGGGGGTACTTTAGGAATTTCTGGGTGGGGATGTGCCGCTGGGACCCTGGAACCCTTAACCTATACTAGAGCTAGTTCAGCTGAATTTTGCTACCCTATATTAGAGTAAACTCCCCAAATCCCCCCTATCCTAGAGTAGCTGTTTCCCTTGTCTAGATAGATCTTCAACCAACTGATCAGTTTCCTGAAAAATGATACCCTATTCTAGACCCAAACGCTCTGATTTATATACCCTGTCCTAGAGTAAACTGCCTGAAAACCATACCCTTCACAGCGGCACATACCTATATAGCCCATATATGGCAGTACCCCCCCGGGCTGCAGCCCCTTTACCTTCTTTTACCACAGACTGATATATATCACCATCATTTGTCCCGATAACATAAAACTCAAGTTTGATCGACAGTATTGAAAAAACCTTAATAGTTAGATTATCCGATATTATGGCGTATTAAAATTGAACGACAAGAATAACGATCTAACTTTCGCTTGCCGAATTTGTAATCCTTATAAACTCACAAAAATACCAAACGACAACAAAAAACAAACAAGCAAAAAACAGATTAGATTTTGTGAAATGCTTATGGCTCAGTCAATTCCAGGCATACCCATCCCCCGCCAGGCATTTGCAGGGCATTTGTCATCTTGTCGGTCTCGGTGGTGAGGGGAATTTGTCAAAAAACCTCTGCCCGGGGTGGGGCATTTGTCAATTCTTCTAGAAGCGGTTAACATCGTCCCTTTTTCAATATTTCACTTAAAATGTGCTTATTAGATCGCTATAGATATTAACACAAATGCTTGAAAGGATACGTGTGGTTTTCGCTTCATCTCCACCCCACAGTATTTTTTGCATCCGTCTAAGAAATTGCTTCCCGCCATCGTGATCATTTCGCACATAGAGGAAAAACAATTAATGCATCGTTTTTGAAGAGTTTAAAGGAACACTTTCTTTGCGAGCAAATGGTTGAGGAAAAAGGACCTAGATCAACTCTTGGGAGATATTTGAAAGCTAGTGTAAACTTTGTGTTTTGTGTGATTAAAGGAGCTGTGTCACGAAATTCAGCCAAATTAGGAAATTACAAAATGCCCGTTAAATTAAGAGAAATAAAACTAACCGCTTAAATCTTTAAAGAAAGGTTAAAATAACATAACAGAAACAACAGATGCCACGGATGGGCAAAACTGAAGAAGATTGAAACGGATTGAAATTAGGGTTTGAAAACTTTTCAGCCTAACAGTTTTTTAAAGTTGATCCCTGCTGCTTGCAACTTCAAAAATAATTCTCAGGAGACATATTCAGTGTTTGTCTCGGATCTCTGGTTTTGTCATTTACCTGTAATTTCTTTGCTGAGTTTATGTTCCATAGCGATTGAGGGCGAGTAATTCGCAAAATTAAACAAAATAAACTGGACTGCCGTGACACAGCCCCTTAACACGATTAATACGTTGACAGAACGGTTCCATTGTGTGATGAGAAAATACTCATGTTAAGCTCGTTGGTTGTTTCTTCTTTATTATTCAGTATTTTAACTACCTTCGAATATAAGAAGGGTATTATTCAAATTATCGTTTATAGTTCTGTCATTGATATTAATCAGACCGATGTGATCATTTTTGTAATAAAAATAATTAAGCTTATAACTAGCGGCCAGCAGCGATTTGCGAAGGGTGGTTTCGCGCGTTTTCACAAGATTCCTATAAATATGCCAGTTGCAGCTTATTTTTTGGAAAATGCTATTTTGTTGTTGTCCGGGGGTGGGGCATTTGCACACTTTTTAAAGCCCCACCGTGGGGTTTTTGTATGAGCCCCCGCCCGGCCCCACCGTGGGGGCATTTGCAGCTTTTCCAAAAGAAAATGACAAATGCCCGAGGGGGAGGGGGATGGGCACGCTTGGGATTGACTAAGCCATAAAAACATGTTATGCGAAATTACTGCCAAAGTGGTTTCAATCGAATGTTTGCTCCTTAGGACTTTATGCACTGACTGATATGTTTATAAACTATGAACCAAATAAATTGCACCATGTGGAGGTACTGCTGAAAAGTTGTCACTTGAATGGTCATACCATATGATTTCTCGCACAAACTTAAAAATAATTATTTTCCGTCTTTAATTATGACCAATTCTGACTGGATGAAGAAGCGCACGAGTCAATATCATAGGTTTACAACGCACCAGTACATATTTAACACTAATGAATATACTAGAACTTCTTGAATCCGTAAAAAAGAATAGTAAGGTTTTTTAGTAATCGGCTTCTGGTTATGCGCAATATCCTCATGAGGTGCGTCAGTTTTCGCGTGACGTTTGTCCGTGACCTTACACGATAAGCTTGCTCACAGGCAAGAGAGTGTAAGGCACTTGCCCCTTTATATCCTCTTGTCATAGGGTAATGAAAAATTTTGACTGTATTTCATTCCTCGTTCATTTTTAGCAAATAAATGACCTTCGCGCGAATGCAACGTATAGTACGCCTGCGTTATTCTAAGTTTGCGTAGCGGGAAAATCTTCGCGCACCGATCGCTGCGGACTGGCGGGGAAAAGAATTGTTGACAAATTACAATGCTTTTTGGTTTCCTCAGGTTGTTATCGAAGACTTTTCATAGGATTCTTTGCTCTTTCATTCTTAAGAACACCGGCTAATAAAGGAGAGAAGAAATATTTAGTTAAGTGCAGAAGAAAAATACTTCTTGCTGCTGGATAAACGCTGCTCTTGAGACAAATCTTGTCTCTGCAGCAAATCGAAACGTAACTTTGATGATCGACGCGCGTCAAATCCTAAACATCCAAAATCGTGACTTTCAGTAGTGAAAAAACATTCGTTTAACGCATAACACACTCATTCATAATGAATGAGAATGAAGTAGAATGATTCTACTTCAAAACTATACTTGAAACGAATAGCTTTGTCACTGGTCGCAACCAAAACAAACTGCTTTTAAATTTACTAACCAATCTCAGTGCGAGTACTATTAAACTGAGAGATGTAAAAATCAATAGTAATCTGTCAGTAAATGTAAATCGCCACTCTTATTTTGACTTAAACTGTGTTAATGAAACTCTGTATCATGGTCAAAAAATTAACATTAACATAAATCATGGGTTTTGCACTTTCGAAAAATTTACTCCGTTACGAATTTTAACTGAAAGAACGTGTGAAACGTTGCACACATGCTCATAAAAAAACGTTACTTTCACTTAATCAAAGTATTGTTTGTTTAACTTTAAATTAACTGTGGATTTTTACAGCAGTGTTTCCTATATTTTTTCTCATTATATCCTTCACTACTTTCTTGGTTAGACAATTTTCTTAAGTTACACTTGAAACAGAACTTTAGATAAACAAACTATTAAATTGCGGGAATTTCTCACTGCACTCGCGTTTCTCGATATAACGTGATCATATCCTCGCTATATTGAGTCATTTGAGGTTATAAATAGCAAGAAAATATTAAGCCTATATTTTAATATTCACTGCACGTACTCAATCTTAGTTCACTGTTTTTTTTTTTTCACATCTCACTCTTTCAAATTCAAATTTGATTCAATTTTTCATACAAAAGTTACTTTAAGGACGGAAAACGAAAGGATAAGTATCACCATAAGGCAGTGCTCAGTATTTTTCATGGACAGGACTTCAATCGTTAAATTTACAACTCATTTGTCAGGAATGCTTTGCTCAGCAACTTTCGCAAAAATAGTCATCCTACAAAATTTTATCCGCAGACTCGGCGATTTTTTAATGATAACTATACTTTTTAAAACGCAATGAACATAACAATCACAGAAAAGAACTGCTCAGTACTGAACTTATGATCACAATAAAAGACCTCTTTCTGAAAAGCTCAAAAGGGTAAATATCGTTTGAAATAACAAGCAGGAGGTGGAAGTAAAATTAACTCGAAACTTTTCACACTGAAAAAGAAATTCTCTTTTCCTTTCATTTTTGTCCGTTTTTGTTTCCATATCCGTCTGAAATTCATTTTTGTCTCACAACGGTAATTTTATTTTGAAACGTTTGGCAAATCCTTTGTGCAGTATTGTATAATACTCTTCGTAAATAGACTTCATTAAATTCTTTACCTTGTAAGATTATGTGCTCCTCAACCAGTTATCACGGATAACCCCGCCTTATTTACCAACTGAATATATGTCAAGCACGTAATAAAGCTGGATAACGACCATATCCGGGGGGGACTCCGCATATGAAAGGGGTGGGAATGCTCGTCGGAAATTTTGAATTAAACCCCTAAAGGATACCGATCTGGGCGGGGCCCAAGCTTTTTTGACCCCTAAAAGAGACCATGTTAAAACACAGACGATATATATATATTTCGTGTGCAACCCTAAACGAGACCTTCAGGGCTAAATGTGATGGCGTTTTGCCCAGAACACCTTAAGTGAGACCAAAATCCGAAATTTATACCCCTAAGCGAGACGACTAGCATCCCCACCCCTTTCATATGGGGAGTACCCCCCGGGACCATATCGCCGGTGTTTCAATTGTTTAACTGCCTTGCTTATTCTGTCCACGTTCGTCTGTCTTCCCAGTGATATCACTGACATAAACTAAAACCCCTTACATAACAAGTCCATTATTGTAATGACTACCCCTTCCCACAATAGCAAAAGAGTTTATGAATAGATTAGAACTTGAAAAGGCTCGAACTGCACTCCACAGCAACATATAGAAACCGACTTCTCAATCCCTTGACGACCCAAATCAGACATTTGAAGATACTTTTTTAAATATTTATTCTAATTTGTGATTATGTCAGAGTTCAACTGGTTCGTATCTAACAGAAAGCAAATTTCTTAAACAGACCCATGACGCAATTCTGAATTTTGGCTCCGTTTGTCATAAAATGAAACATTGGAACCTGATGTTTGCAAGTCACTGGGTAGTTTTTGTCTTCAAAAAAACGTCGATCCATTGCGCGTTATCCTGGATGCAATTTTTGGCATAAAGAATGTACTTACTTCAGCGAGCAGACATCTCATGAATAAATACACGAACAAAAATCAATATGCCATCAAACTATGGCTGAATTCGTCAATGACATAGTTCTATCCTTTCTTTTAAGGTGTTTTGCTAAAAACCAAAATTGTCGAAGAATAGTAAAAATATACTTGTATAACTTCAACGTTGGGTCTTGCCCAAAGAGAGTCTATTGTAACTTAGCAACCGAGTCATGTTACTCATTCGACAGCAGACATACAATAACTGATCCAACGCAAAAGACATGCAATGAAAATACCAGAGAAACGCTAGTCTCTCTTTAGTACTGGAGAGTTTAAGATATGTTGAATCAGTCTTTGGATGTGGGAAGGTCCCAGCTTTTGCAATCGCTTAAAAAAATTCATGGAGAGATTTCAAAAAGCATCACTCCGTGTCAAGACACTTAGAAAGCTGGTTTCATATGTAGTCACCACTGCAGACAAGAAATTGCAGATCAAAGCAATTATTGATAACTGAAAGTGAAACAGGAAACTCCCCTTGATTTTTCTTAAAACATCGGTTTCGTGATTATTAGCTTCATCGAAAGATGTTTAAATGACTATCAATGACGGCTAAGAACAGGGTAGGGTACATGAATTAATGAATATTGGGCAAAACTTCTCAAATGTCAAACACGGAAACGCTGTTGTGCTCAACTCGTTTTTCATGCTTAAAGCCTTTCTTAACTCTATAGTCCGTAATATCAAAATTCCAATTCTCATTTGTTGTCCCTATACTTTTCCCTTGAAAGTAGTGGGGCGAAGTTGTTAAAGTATCGACCAAATTCATCTTGTGTGATCATGTCCTTAATTCTCGTCACCGATCTGTTTTATAAAGCATTGACTTCACGAGGAGAATATTGATACTGATCACTCTTTGGGGTTAAAGAGTTAGGCCAATAGCCATTCAGTGAAAACTTGGCATCTGTACAACTACCAAAACAATGTACAATTCCCTACCTCTGTAGAACAATAAACGGTGGAAAAATTTTTAATCAAAACTAGCAATTGATAGACTCTCGTATAGTTTCGATAATTCTGAACAAACTAAAACATTACTTTCACAGAGGAAAAAATCGGCTCTTTCGGTAGTAAATGCACAAAAGGAGAAGGATCAAAGTCCCGAATACATTGGCAATATATTCAATATTTTTAATTTGCTTGGGTATCGCAGGTCTAAGTGAAATCTTTTGATGTAACACATTTTGATACTATAAGCATATACAGTTGTTGAAGAAATTTGTGCAACTGACCATAAGCCCATTCCAAAACCCGCTTACAACATCACTGATAGATTCTAACTGTTGACCAGCTTGCATGTTCTCTTTTAGCCTCTAAACTCTGGCTGCACGAGGCAAAACTTGATACTTCGCTTTGCGACGTCAGTTTACGACCTGTAGAAGTTTCAACTCAGTAAAAGACTTGAAAAAAGGTTTTAGTAAAACAATTACTAATTGCAACTGTTAAAATATTGGAAACATTAAGTCCGTTTGCAAGGAAAAATATTCAAAGTAGCTTTTTAAACCATGAATAATTATAACAAAACATGACGACCTCTATAGCGGCTAGGGTGTTTCTTGCCTTAAATCGTTGATCTTCCAATAACTGAACTATCAGCCTGTCTTTCTGAAAATTTCTTTACGGCATTAAGTAAAAGATATTACTGGACAAAAAGAAAATACAGATACACGTGCAAAAACACTTACTACGGCTCAGTCTCTTAAGTGAATTTGCATTTGAAATCGTATACTAGCAGGATTTTCCCTGTAAATTCAATATAATAGGCACATATTGTAGGCCTAATATAAACAGGAAGTTATAAGCAGATCGAGAAAATATTTCTTGATTTTATCGGTATTAAAGGACAGATTGCCGATATCGAGTCTTGAAAAAGCGGGAGAGATGTTCTAATTTTAATTTGAATTTTGTGATTGTAATGTAAGGCATGGAGTTAATAAGAGATTGCAACGGTTGATTTTTCGGTTTTGGTAGATCAATATTTTGAAAAACTTTAACGTGCGAGGTGCAAAATTTGATGTGGTTTGAAGAGCAGCATTATTTGCCAACGGTTGCGAATTCAGCAAAATACTGTGTTTCCATTCACGCAGGTATAAAATAACCAATTTAGGTAAATAATCTGTTATGATTTTTTTGCAAACTGGGATGGTGAAGTCTTTGCAAATATAGCTTTAATAAATTGGTAAGACACTTTTAATATTTAATACTTTGTTAAAGTTATGAAGTTATCAGTCGGAGATCCTATATTTTGGCAGCTTACCCATCCTCCGTTTGAATGAATCCAGTTTGAAAGACCTGAAATATAATTTCCAACCCAAACAATGATCTCCTCCACCTCTTGTTGTAAGCCATTAGTCACACAGTACTGCGCCATTTTTGCTCCAAACGCAAAGATTGCCACGATCCTACCCCAGTTAATTCCTTCGCGGAATACCTCGTCTGCAACTTGCACAAATTTCACTTGCGCTGAGCCGTTAACAACGTTAAGTCTGTTGCACATATTCGAAAGCACCATCGAATGGCGATCCTCGAGCTCGTCAGAAAGTCTTCGTAAAATCGCAGCCGTGCGTGTCGGCGGAGGATTCATTTTTCCAATGCGATACGATACAAGGTCGTGTGCGAGGTTTCGAGCTTCTTCAGAAATGCGTCTCATCTCCTCACTCATAGCGGTGTCTTGCACAACTCTTGTAGGCTGTAAACAACTCATAACTGTTATCCAACTGCAAATTTATGCTTTTTTGTGTTAATATTCGGCTTATTTTATCGTTTTATAGAGAGGCGTTACGCTCACGTTGTGAGGCCGTTCCTGATGAAAGCCGATAATTACCAGTGTGCGAGGTAAACCCTTCAAACGCCACCTGTTACGTGCACTGGACGGGTTTTCCATTCTGACTGGTTCTTCACGTGAAGTCGCTGCTCGTGATTGGTTGTTGAATGTCGCAAGTGTCAATCGATTTTTTTGTGGGCAGTATCCATGTTAATGTTCGATGCAAAGTAGCATCTCTTCAATTTGTTTAGTGACACTACTGCCAGAGAAACGTAATTCGTTTGGCTTGCACGAAGGTGAAATTGCGCAATGGATTCTTACAGTCACCCACGCACAGTGCCAAATTTAGATGATCGAGAAAAATTCCCGTAAAGGTTTTTCCTATTTCATGATTGTGCTATTTTTGGCTTGACCTTGAACAGTTAAAATAGTGCATCAAGGATACTTTTTCTCGTACGACAATGACAAGAAATTTAAATTAGAGAGAATCGTCATCGCCCTGCCGATATTGTCAAGCCAACCATACACTCCTTCACAGTGCCGGATTTCTTATGTTCCGCAGGAAATTATACTGTCATATACAATTACAGGAAGGGTAAAATTTTGCTATTTATAGTTTGATCATGAAGAGCTAAATACAGCAATTATAAGGGTAGTCTCTTGCAATGATAAGAATTCAAATTAGGGAGAAACACCGTCTCTCTGCCAATTTGTTTATGCACCCATCCATGCTCTTTTTAACTGTGAACATTTTTTAAGTTCGGTGCCGGAATTTTCAATTGTATTACATGAGCTGCCAGTTATGAAGACTGTGTTCTAGATACATCTTTCTACCGGCCAACGGTCCGGAAAAAGCCCGAAACTATTTTGACTTTTCTTGTCGTAAGGAACAAAACGATCGAATCCATAAATTCATTTTTCCCACTAGAGTACAGACTCGATTTGGCCTCCAGCAATATATCTTAAATTTATATGCTGATCTTTCTCGTAATGATGGCTCAAAAGCAGAGATATTAAAAGCCCAAAAGAAAATTAATTTTTCCAACGAAAGAATTTTTTGTATAAGAATCAATATTTTATGACAAAAAAAAAAGGCAAAATGCAAACTTGCACGAAACCGTTATCTCTTAAAATCCTTAGTACAGCAAATACACAATACGGATTTTAGTCAAAAATCTGATTTGACTTGAAAATCGAGGGCTACCGATTGTCAAAAGTGTTAGCAGAATTTCTCAACAGTCGGTTTCTCCCTTTCTTATCGTGGTCACGACCTTGGAAGACCAAGAAGAAGAGCTATAGCTATTATTGGATCCAAATCAGGCATAACTACAAGGCTAAATTACTACAGCGGCGAAAAATTCACCATAGATTTTGCCAGACATTATTTGAAAGGCGAAATCTTATTATTTTTATTATTGTCTTAGCGCGAGAAACAGTTTTAATTCCTTGATTCAAACCACAAGATTGACTGTTTTATCGAGTCAGTATTACACACATATTTCTAATTGCAGGCTGTACGCATGCATTGGTACATTATAATGCACAGTATATACTTCGTATTCTGATTGGATGATTGGCTAGCTCAGAAGTAAATTGCATTTGTCATTCACCCAGAGCAAGCATGTCGCGTGCGATGGAGTATCGCGCAAAAACTGAATGTCTGTAACGTCATTGGAAAATAGACTGGAGGTTCCATATTGGAGGTAAAGTGCTGCCCCATGCTTCATTTATCCTGATGCATGAGTTTTTAAAAGGCAAAATACAGTCAACTCTCGCCTTGCGGACACCCCGCTATAACGAACACCTCGATAATACGGACAACAGCTAAATCCCAGGCAAAAATAAATCACAGACGTTTGACCGAAATAAATTCCCGCTATTACGGGCTCTCGCTAATGAAGATATCAGATGGAGGTCCCTATAGTGTCCGCTTTAAAGGAGTTGACTGTAGTTTAAAATAAACACAAACACAACACATAATGCAAATAATCATTATGAATGCCCAAAGATTTTAATCAATTATCAACGAGCATTTAAAATTAGGATGTTTCTAATAAAAACATTGTACAACTGTTCGACTCTCTGTTTCATTCCCCTCTTCGGGCAAATTATAATTCAGTTTGTTCGCCTCATATCTTCATTCACGTTTTGAGGCATGTAAAACCGATTAGAAAAAGCGGTGAACTACACTGAGAAGGTTTTTTTCTGAAAACGATTTCTGCTGTTAAATGTCGGAACGGGCACTTTTTTGTCTCCTCGTGACAAGATGTCATCGATTGTGTTCGTGAGCCACAGCGATCCACGGCTGATTCATGAAAGAACATTGTACTCCCCTCGATTCTTCGCTAAAACGTTCACTACCTAATCAAACCTTCCAGGGATACTTAACTTTACACCTGCATGACGAGCTAATGAGTAACTTACCGTTACAGTTTAAAAGAATTTTCCTTCGCGCTCGCGACCGATTATCTACTTCAAACCCAAACATCAATACAACGTATGTCAAAGAACGAGCTCACGGCCCAGATTTAAGTCTGTGAACGCTAAGAAACTCTATGACAGGTTTATCTCAATTTACTTTTAGCGCTGGATTGAAAACGAATTTAAGACTTTCTTCATTAGCACTCACAAGATTATAAGATGTCGGCCGCCGTACATTTCACTTCTCGACACTTCGCTTCTGATCAGGTGTTACTCGGCGGGGCCTGGGAGCTGCTAACAAACATCCAATCCAAACAGCTTCCAAACAGCAGGCGTCCAAGTCGAGTTCTCATGTCAGAAGTAGGTACCAGCCCTGTGCGGGCAGCAATTAAATATTTCTGCCGTTGGCTCTTCTCTTCGCTTGCAGTGTTGTATACTGTGAGCTAAAAATAATTAATCAGCCCAGTGTCGCGCTTTCGGTGTTATTCGTGGACTAACCCAAGCCCCTCCAAATAGAAGCCCCCCAAACTCGTAACGCAAAAAACCCTCCGTTAAATCACCCCTCCAAATATAAGCCCCCGGGGGCTTGTACTTGGAAATTGCCCTGAAATACAAAGGAAAACAAAGCAATAACGGTACAGTAACATATAAATTTTTGTATTTGCCAAAGAACTACTACGTGTGCCCAATGACTGCAGTCAAAAAGTTTCACAGTTTATTGCTGTTTGCGTTGTTCACTCTTCACTCTTGGCTTGGATTTCCTCGGTTTATATTGACAAAGTACCTGCATGGCTGCGTTTTATAAGGTCTACGTCCTCAAGGCGAGTTTCAGAAAAACCTTTCTGCAAATTACTGGCATAAATTTTCCAATAGCCCAATCAATTTTGAGACGCAAATTTCCCTCCAAGTATAAGCCTAGCCGATTTTGAAACGCAAATTTCCCTCCGAATGTATGTAAGCCCCTTCAAATATAAGCCCCTCCAAAAATAAACTCCTCAAAAAGGGCCTTTGAAATAAGCCCCAGGGCTTATTTTCGGAATTTTACGGTATTAGACAAGGAACATATTTCTTTTCTATGGAGACACAATCACATCATAACTGAGAAAAGACCCACAACTCTTGGCTCGCCATGTTACACACACTCAGCCGACATGGACTTCAGTAAAATCAGTTATCGAAAATATCGGCATCCTCATCGTCACCATCAATATCATCATCATCACCATCATCATGGTCATCCCTAGCCCTTACATCGTCACTAAAGTTAACAGCAATGTTCATCTCCTAAACGGACGTAGCCTAGGCCATCGTGCGGTGAAGTGAAGTTCTCTTGTTTCGAAGCTACACTTAAGAATTCCAACAGCTCCTGTTTCACTGGGAGGTAGTTCTCTAACAAGTCTCTCATGAAGCGATCTTATTCCTCCTTGAAACTGCGACGTTAGAGATGACAGAGTGGGTATTCCTGCAAACGGTATGACAGATTTCTATCGAAAAGGACACCACCAAGCCTATTCGCTTACAACGCCCCTTCACTCTTCACCTTAACTTAAGTGAATTAACTTCCCGTCGTAGGCTTGTCCCGATTGTGCTGGTAAAATTGATAAAAGGTTGGAAACTTGCACAATCAAAAACCTAAAAGTTGCTTAAAAAATTGTCAAATATCCAAACACTTGCTATCTAAAAAAAGCTTTATATTTTCGTTCTTCACAATCTGAGTTGCTACATCGGTCAAGGAAACTAGTTTGGAACAAATATGGGCGAAATTTAATGATTGTCTTAAATCTAACCACAGGCAGCCCAAGCTCACTGCGGCATAATCTATAATACTTTGTATCAGAATTATTTTCTCTCTTTAAAATTAAGCGAATGCCAACAGCCCCTGAGCAAAACTTCCGTACTAAGCATCATAGAGCCGATGCGCGAGAAATTCTAGAGGCGAAAAAAATCTCTACTGATAAAAAAGAGCTAAGAAACAAGAACCAGTCAGAGCGTGAGATTTGGTGTATGACGTCATCACGTCATCAAAGGTGGTAGTGGCAGAGTTCTTTATCCGTTTATCCCAGGGCGTCGTTGGTTTGTCTGACGTTCCTGGGCATTAAATTAAAGGTGTCTCGAACCTGTTTATGTGCGCGTTGGTTATGTTTTTGAATCGCGTTTTTCAGCAGTAAACGATTTCACCGATTTCCATGATTGTCGGCGTCCATGATAAAGGATGGTGGAACTTTAAGAAAATGTTATTTATTTTCTTGCAGGTATAAAACGTTTGAGATATCAGTTTATATTTAAACTGCATTTTAACAAAAAATGTTAATAACTTCGAAATCCTACGACAGATTTTTCCCCTAACTTCAGCAAAAAGGCCTCAGAGCTCTCAAGTTTTATATCTGCAAGTTTGAAGTCAATCGTGACCATACAACTCGCTGCACAAAATTCTGGTTAAATGTAACCTTTAAATGCTACGCTAACACATTGGTGAAAGTTGACGTACAAATAGTGGAAGAGTGCTTACGGACTCTCTACTATTTAAAAGGTGTTCTTACCCAAAGCTTTATTGCAAGAAAACACGGGGAATACAGTTCGCAATACAAGAAGAACAACTTTATGCTGAATGCAGGGTGAGATTAAATAACTTCTGTTTGTCAGAGTCACTATTTACAATAGATTTGTCATTCTCTTTTCGAAAAAACTCTCAGCAAAGCAAAATATAGCATCTACGGAAATCTCCACCAACTTTTAGCACCGAAGGTTACCGTTTTGAGGAGAAATAAAGCCACCAACTCCAGTTCTTCTAACCATCCATTTTAAGCTGTAATGGAAATTCTTGTACTTGGTAATTTATTCAACCTTAGTATATTTGGCATCACATTCGCACGGTAGTTTGCCATTGTGGATATAATGAGAAGAATAAGACGATTATCATATTTTTCTTCATCTTTATCCCCAAGTGGCAAACTTCTCGTGTGAATATGATGGCAAATCTAAAAAGCTTGAAAAAATTACCAAATACAAGGGTTTGCATTGCTGTTGGTAAGTGGATTGTAAGAAGTACTGGAGTTGATGGCTTTATTTCTTCTCAAAACGGTAACCTGCGACGCTAAAAACTCTTGAGAGTTTTTCGTGGATGCTATATTTTGCTTTGTTGAGATTTGTTTCGAAAAGAGAGGGACAAATGCAAAGTAAGTTTGATGAATAGAAGTTCTTTATTCTTACCTCGCATTCAGCATAAAGTTGTTCTTCTTGTAGTGCTAACTGTATTCTCCGTAAGTTTCTGATTATTTCTACGATTTCTGTACAGACCCGCCTTTCTTTTATGCGGGACCCGCGGAACCGTGCGACTTATTGAACGGTAAAGTGTGCAAGTCAATTTTTGACCTGATCAGAAGATGGTCAAATTTTTTTTACCGTTACGGTTCCACTTTGCATTGACTCGTGACATGCAACATCTGAATCGGACAAGTTTCTTTTGCACAGTTTGCGCGGTGAAAGCCTGGCCCCGGTTGTTCAAAGTTAGATAGTGCTTTCCAGCGGATAAGTATTTGGGAATCCAATTGAGTTTTCTACTGGATAGAGATTTATCCAGTGAATAGTGTTTTCCACCTCTTAATCAACGGGGGCCTGGAGCCTAGTTAAGCGCCTTTGATAAGTCGGGCTTGTGTAAACAGTACTGCAATCTGTAACAGAATTTCCACGGTTCCGTGTAAACGGGTTGCATAGATAAAAAAAAAATCGTTAGTAGACGAATTTCTTCACCCGTGCGACCTATTCCGTACAGATTGTGTAAAGAAATCAGATTCGATCCTCTTCCCTCATTGCGTCACTTAGCGAAAGATAAGTCTCTGCCGTTAGTAATTCTAACTCATAAAGTAAGAAAGGTAGCGAACCTTAGCGCAATGCCCGGTAAGGGTGGGTCAGGGGATCCCTAGGATAGGCGGTGTTTGCCTCATCTTAAAACCTCACCCTTTGGGAAATAAAATTAACTGAATCGACACCCTTATGAAGTCCAAAGCCAAAACAAAAGTACACTAAATACAACGTAAAATTGTGTTGACATGTTTGGTACCTTATAACAAAGGGCCACAATTCCAGAAATGAAAGGCTCTAACCTGAGCGTGTAAAAAGAGGGTGTTAGTTTTTCACTCCAAGTCACCGAAGGTGCAACTAGCAGAATTCGGGCCCGAAGGCAAATTTTAAAAACAAAACCTGTAGAATAGTAACTCAGTTTCTAGCTTCAAAACCAGTCAGTTTTTGCTTTGTTAACTGATAGTTTCATTGTATCATTTTCAAAGTTATTGAAACTTCGATCTTGAATGTAAATATGGCAAATGTAAACAGCTTTCTGGGCCCGTCCCCGCAATCTGAATCCCTGAAACAGGCTAGAGAAATGGACCCCAGGCGAGCTTCCCAATTCTTCCTCAACTTCATCTTCTTTATCATTATGCACTATTTACATCAATTACAACTTGTTAATACAATAATCCTTTTTACAGAAAATATATATAATACATGATAAAACCAAGGAACAATGAAAAGGATGTGTGAGTGGCAACCAGAGTAGCCACTGGCTTCCCGTGATAGGCCGAGCGAGAGGATTGGGAGGCGCGGTGCAACTTCGTCCTCAGGGCTTTTCCTCTAGAAAATGGGAAGAAAGGCCCTAACGGCGAGGTTGGAGAATGCGTGTCGTGATGTCCAAATGCATGTCTGTCCGATAACTCGGTTTTTGAATTTAATTAAATTTCGTTACACGCCTAGAAATGAAAATTAGCGAGAAAAGGTTTGCGCAGCGTTCCCATAAACCGTGAAAATATAAAATAAAAACGTAAAAAAATTATTCCTTTGATGTGTTTCCATTTAAACGTGCAAATATGTTTCATGTACCTCTGTTTCAATTAAACTGTATGCAATAAGTCAGGTTTAGTCTATTTTGTCACTTAAGAATAACGTCATGGCGAAAACTGAAACTTTTGCAAAAACCAATCTCGTTCCGAGGGCCTCATTTTCTCACTTATGTCTTCAGAAAAGCCCTGGGGACGAGCTAGGTGCCAAAACTGCTCTTGAACTCTGTACGTTGCTAAATTCTGGCCAACTTCGCGCCTTCGCTGCATTTGCTTTATAGATTACTTTGGTAATCGTGGCTACGACAAAAATTTCCTCAAAATCCAAATACGAAGAGCTTCTGACGTAAATTCCTTTCACTGACGCACTAAAATCAAAGGCTCCTAGGAGCGAGCGCATGGATGAATTGAATCGTAAACGAGAATGGGTGCAAAGTGCCACTGCTCTTGAATTTCGTGATTAAATTTCGTTATTGTTGACAACCTAATGTTAAAGATTATCACCTCTGTATTTATAGTAACTCAGGAAGGCTTGAGAAACATTCCGTTTTGAAATTCATTTGTTTTAAACTGCGTGGGCACTGTAACATATTCACTTTCCGGAAAGGATCCTCCCTAGTTTTTTTTTTATATTTCATGACTTTCTCTGTGTGTTGGTTAAGTGATAGATCATGTTTACATTCTTTAGCATTTGGTTTTTGGCATCTGCCTTTTGGCATAAAGTGTCGGTTGTGAAAAGCATTTCGTATTTCGTCAGACACAGTCGAATGTCCGATTGCATGTGCACCTGAATACTCTAGAAACTTGTTATCGACGCAACATTTTATTTAACGCTTTTTACTCGTAAAATAATTTACTTCCTCATGTGAAGGTCAACGTCGCTTTACAATTCGAGGATCTTTTCTTCGTAGCTAAGGCTCTTTGGCTTATTCGCTCTTCGCTGAACGAAATCCCATCGACAGGCTTCTATAGTTCTTTCACACTCCTGTCGATAGCATCTTCTCCGGGCATCTTCTCCATATCAAGTAATATCGGGAACAAATGTGCACAATTCGCCCAAATATACAACAATGATCCACGCTCAATTATTTCAAAGTCCTTTTAACAATTCCAAGTCCATCATTCCATGCAGATGATATTTTCAGTGTTCTTTAGAATATTTCCATTTATACAAAACCCATCTTCGGCTGGCTACTCTTTTGTGTCGGGAAAAAATGTCCCCCTTACTAGTACCCCCTAGAATATGTCAAACATATGTGTAAAAGGCACTTGGAACAAAAGTAATTCTAAGTAAGGGAGGTAATAGTAATGTGTTTAATTTGACTTTAATGAATAAATTAATGAGAATCGAGTGAGTGAGTGAGTGATCGAGTGCCATTCGAGTGCCTCCAAAAGCCCATGGCATGACTACGTCATCCATGAGCTAAAAACAAACCCAGGACATGGATTGGTATTTTTATATACTCCCTTCGTCATTACGTATAATCCAGTATTATCTAACATAGCGCGCGTCATTCACAAGTACTCTGGCCGCCTACTCTAAAAACCATCTGTGACTAGTTCACTGATAGTGACTGTCCCTGTCAGAGCCCAGTTACCGAATAACTTCATTCTCATCAGGATCCCGGGCTGCGTTGGTTGCTTTTGGTGCAAAATTAGGAATTGTACCTCCTGTCCCTAAATTGAACTGTTGAAATCCGGTGATCATTTCAAACCTCCCATAACCTGTACTCAGTGTTATTTTGGTACATGTTTCAACGTCGCCACGGTAACTGAATAAATTTACTGAATGAGAGATTAGGGAAACTAAACTGCTTCGCCCTCAAGGCCGTTTTAATGCACACAGACCACGGCGGTACTTCAGCCTGGTTTTCGTGTCGGGAAAATCCCAGACGATCGGGGATTTTACCGTTTCCCGACCGTCCCAGATTTTGCCGACTAATGAAAACTCGAAATCGTAGATATCCCCGATCGTCTGGGATGGACGGGGACAAATCTGGAGAATCGGAAGCGTTTCTATTTTCCCGACGTGTCCCAGATTTATGCGATGGTAGGCGATCATTCCCGACACTGAATGAAAACTCAAATTTGTACCGACGAGGACGTCGGCGATGGATTTCGTTCCTTACCGATCCCTTAAATCGCTGGGCTCCAGTCGCCCTATCACAAATAAACATGGCGTCTCTCGAGAATCTGGGACAGACTTCTGGCGATTATCCGATATATCGGCAAAATCTGGGAAGGTCGGAAAAAAGTAAAATCCCCGATCGTCTGGGATTTTCTCGACATATGAAAACTAGGGCCGGGTTGTTCAAAGCCGGGTTAAGATAACCCTGCAGGGTTAGTGAGAAATTTGAATTCAGATATAGCTTAAAAAGCAACAGTCTGATTCTTTTTATCTACTCTTTGGCGATTGAATGCTCTAAAAGAATTGAGAAAATTATCCAAGAAAATACTTTTGAACAAAAGAAAAAGAAACCTTGATTAAAATTTAACCCCGGATTAGCGCTAATCGGCCTTCGAATAACTGGGTCCTAGCATGTTCCAAGCGTTCAGATAGTGGAGAGCGGTGCGAAGTAAAGAAAGCGATGAAAAGTAGAGGGGGACTTGGGAGAGAGGTGCGTGCGCTTTTATTTTTTCGCGCCCCTCTTCGCACCGCTCCCCACTATCTGAACGCCTGGAACAGGCTACTGGGTCCAGGCTTTTTTAGAGGAGCTGTGTCACGAAATTGTGCCAAATAAGGTAATTACAAAATGCCCGTTAAATTACGAGAAACATAAACATAACCGCTTAAAACTTTAAAGGAAAGTTGAAATAACATAACAGAAACAACAGATGGCACGGATGGGCAAAACTGAAGAAGATTGAAACGGATTGAAATTAGGGTTTTTCAAAGTTGATCCCGGCTGCTTGCAACTTCAAAAATAATGCTCAGAAGACATATTTGTTTGTCTCGGATCTCTGATTTTGTCATTTAACTGTAATTTCTTTGCTTACTTTAAGTTCCATAGCGATTGAGGGTGAGTGAGTGGCAAAATTAAACAAAATGAATTAGACTGCCGTGACACAGCCCCTTCTTCTAATTATATCCATGCAGTGGTTGTAAACACTTTCTCATTATAAAACCACTCCAACATGTTCTACTCTTTAGGTTCTCTTTTTGTTTTGTTTTTAATTGACACTGGACGTGATTTTTTCTTCTCAGGAAGGCGAAAGAAACGCACATATTGACATATTATCATTCTCTCTTGACATTATCCTTAATAACTCGGTCAGGACCTTTTCGCCTCAAGGTATGAATAAAGGTAATGAACTATATTATATCTTCTGTTATTTTTTATTGTTATTTCCCGTGGGTAGCCGTGCCATACAGCGTCACATGAGATGTAACTTTCTTTGATTGTTTCACTATAAAGTATGTATTTCTGTAAATTGCGTGAGTTGTCCTCATATAAAACCCGATAAAGAATGGTACTGGCCAGTCGGAATTTCGTAACTACTGTCTATCCACCTTCCAGTTGTCCGCGGTTTTTGGCCAAAATTTACAATTTTTATCAATTCTGAACTTCGGCGATTCAGTTATTCCAGTGGTTTTCTTTTTAATTTTTTGCATATCAGTTCTGCAAGGATCCATACGTTTAACGGCCGATTCGATTTGCTTGTCTTTTGTTACTACTGAAGGCCTGGCCGAGTGTTTATTTGACTTGAGATCAGGCCTTAAAATAAAAGTTCCTTACCGCAATTGAAAGTCTTTTTTTAACTTTCCAAACTACAACCTTTTTGTTTGGTGTAATTGGCCAATGGCACTTAAGGTAGTTTTCACTTTCGATCAGGGTTTTGCCGATGTCATTTTCTTTAGAGATCCATTTTTAAAAACTTGGGTCCTTACTCAGCAAGTCGACTTCAGGTCAAGAGAAATTATATCTTGGTTAAAGAGACTTATACAAGATAACCTGTCATTCAAAAATCACATGCCCCTAACATGGTTTGTTTCACAGGCGTGTACGATCACGTTCTTTCGCAGAAACTTTAAGTTCCGCAAGTTCAATGTTTATTCCGTAAAATTGAGTATCAGGGAGCCAATCAGGACTCCTCCTCATTATCAACAACCAATCAAAAAAAGACATTTCCGTGACTACGTCATACGGAGTTTCCCTTGGGAGGGCACGCTCTACGTCACATAAAACTTTAAAGGAAAGTTAAAATAACATAACAGAAAAAACAGATGCCACGGATGGGCAAAACTGAAGAAGATTGAAACGGATTGAAATTAGGGTTTTTCAAAGTTGATTCCTGCTGCTTGCAACTTCAAAAATAATGCTCAGAAGACATATTTGTTTGTCTCGGATCTCTGATTTTGTCATTTACCTGTAATTTCTTTGCTTACTTTAACTTCCATAGCGATTGAGGGTGAGTGAGTGGTAAAATTAAATAAAATGAACTGGACTGCCGTGAGACAGCCCCTTCTTCTAATTATAACCATGCAGTGGTTGTAAACACTTTCTCATTATAAAACCACTCCAACATGTTCTACTCTTTAGGGTCTCTTTTTGTTTTGTTTTTAATTGATGCACATATTGACACATTATCATTCTCTCTTGACATTATCCTTAACTCGGTCAGGACCTTTTCGCCTCAAGGTATGAAAATGAAAGGTAATGAACTATATTATATCTTCTGTTATTTTTTATTGTTATTTCCCGTGGGTAGCCGTGCCATACAGCGTCACATGAGATGTAACTTTCTTTGATTGTTTTACTATAAAGTATGTATTTCTATAAATTGCGTGAGTTGTCCTCATATAAAACCCGATAAAGAATGGTACTGGCCAGTCGAAATTTCGTAACTACTGTCTATCCACCTTGCAGTTGTCCGCGGTTTTTGGCAAAAATTTACAATTTTTATCAATTCTGAACTTCGGCGATTCAGTTATTCCAGTGGTTTTCTTTTTAATTTTTTGCAAATCAGTTCTGCAAGGATCCATACGTTAAACGGCCGATTCGATTTGCTTGTCTTTTGTTACTACTGAAGACCTGGCCGAGTGTTTATTTGACTTGAGATCAGGCCTAAAAATAAAAGTTCCTTACTACAATGGAAAGTCTTTTTTTAACTTTCCTAACTACAACCTTTTTGTTTGGTGTAATTGTCCAGTGGCACTTAAGCTAGTTTTCACTTTCGATCAGGGTTCTGCCGATGTCATTTTCTTTAGAGATCTATTTTTAAAAACTTGGGTCCTTACTCAGCAAGCCGACTTCAGGTCAAGAGAAATTATATCTTGGTTAAAGAGACTTATACAAGATAACCTGTCATTCAAAAATCACATGCCCCTAACATGGTTTGTTTCATAAGCGCGTACGATCACGTTCTTTCGCAGAAACTTTAAGTTCCGCAAGTTCAAGGTTTATTCCGTAAAATTGAGTATCAGGGAGCCAATCAGGACTCCTCCTCATTATCAACAACCAATCAAAAAAAGACATTTCCGTGACTACGTCATACGGAGTTTCCCTTGGGAGGGCACGCTCTACGTCACGTCCGTCGGCGATGAAGTAAGACTTCCTTATTTAAAACAACAAAACATATAAAAGCGTAACACACTGTCCTCAAGGAAAACTAAACCAGTTAGTCAGGAGGAACTAATAGAGGCGTTAAGCCTTCAACTGATACAAAACGAAGCCCTCTGAAGCAAAGAGTCTTTTTTTAGGTGAGTCTAGCCCCTTTTTCAGTCTCGTCACGCAATGTGCTTCTATTTTACTATATTCCTATTTCTTTATGTCTGCGATGTTGCTTTGATTACCTCAAAACCAACGCTTTTGTGCAGTATCTTTTCGTTTATTACTTAAAAAATACAAACATTCTGAACCTTTTTGTAGTATCGAGAAGTTTCGATGAAAGATAATTTAAAACGATTAAACTACGAACGGTTGTTTGCACTGTTCGTGTTCATTATTTCAAGACTTCGATTTTTAAGTTCGTCATGCGGAATCCACCTAACTATATTTTCTGTAAATGACGTTATCTCGATTTTTGACGTTATATTTCTCAGAACTTGATTGTTTTTCTCAGAACTTGTTTGTTTGTTTGTTTGTTTTTTTTTTCTGGAATTATGGTTCAGTAAGAGAAAGCACGACTTGAATCTCACAAGCTATATTTATTATTCATCTCGCAGGTTTGATGGGTTTCAAGCTATTCAAGAAAACAGACAGCAAATCTGAGACCCGAAGAAGATCATTTAGCTTTTTGAGGCGAAGAAGTTGTTCTCGCGAAGAAAGAAGAAGTGAGGACTTTTTAAGACCAAGGAGGACCGGAGAAGGTCAAAGCCCGGAGGTGAGAAGATCGCAAGAAGTAGCTTCCGCTTTAAGGAAGATCGGAGATGAACTCAACAATAGCACTTTGAGTCTACATTCAGCAGCCACCACATAACGAACGGCAAGGAAATCATCGGGGATATAGGTGTGAAAGAAAAAGAAAATGAGGAGACAATCTTGAGGCCATGCAATAAAAAGCCAAGGTGACGTCGTACTACATCTAACTATGACATGCTAATTTGAACTGTACGGAGTTTAAGGTCACGAACATCCACCAGACGTGTCTAATGGCACTTTGCGAAATTTTGCTTCTGCTGATGGAAGAGGGAGATACTGACAGTCTCAATATTTGTTGAATTACTGACGACTAGTGTACCATTCGAGTTTGATGTAATTAAAAAGATGAAGTAGTTAATCGCTTTTGCGTCGTCTTGTGCGTCACGTACCCTGTGAATCTCCTCGAGACCGGAAGTTGGGGAAAACTTCCGGTAACTTTCGATAATGTACCACTAAAAATCCAAGTTTGTTATGAAGATTGCGACGTTACTCTAAAATACGTGCTTCAACATAATATAAAGGAAATGCTCCAAACCATCCTTGCGTCATCGACTGACAGCAACAGTTGTAATTAAAGTTTCAATTCTTTCGAGACTACTTTCATTGCCCGTTTCAACTTACTGATTCGTAATTCCATCTGATGAATTTTGATCTTTTCTCTTCCAAGTGACTACCTTCAAACTGGTGTCACGATCGAAGATTTTGTCCTTTTTTAGCCAAGCAAACAGCTAATCCTTTATTCAGCATGGTTAACTAATTTAGATGTTACAGCTAGTTTTCATTTCCGTTGACCTGTACGCTTGTGAAGTCATAAGTTTTAACTGTCATAGACAACTTTGACATTAAACTTGTGAAGGGGGAAATGATCTTTCGATCCGGACCATACCAGAAAGAGCACGATTTAGTTAGGCAGGTCAGAGAAAAACGAAGACAACAACATCAGCAGCAAAAACATGTAAAATTGACCCCTAAATTCTAATGAAAATCTTGTTCCTTTGACCCTCCACTTCCTTCATTTTAATGATCTTTAATATCACAATCATTTAGTTTTAGCAAAAGCTTTTTCCACCGATATGAAGCCTTGTAAATGCCCAGCAAGAGAGAGAAAAAACCAACCCTATTGGTTCTAACAATAGTGCTGATTTCCTTTTTCACTCCTTTAGTAACCAGGTTAGCTCTTTCACCCATTGCTCAGCAGTACTCTGTTAGATAGTATTGAAAAGTTCATCAGGCTCTGCTGTAAAAGCTGTTATCTTTGTGGTTACAGTGCTGCTCTCTCTTAGACGGAGACATGGTGCCAGTTCCAAAGGTGTCTGTCTTAGAGACATGTCCATCTTATAGAGAGTCAACTAAAAGGAGTAAATAAAGTTAGCGACCAACTCTAGGTGTCTGTTTTAGCAAGGTCTCCACCCGGGGGGAGGGGGGTACTCGTGGGAATTCGGATCATACGCACCCACCCCTCCCCTAAGCCAACATTTTGCCATAAGTGAGAACTAAGTGTCAATGTTGGTTTAGGGGAGGGGTAGGTGGGCAGTTTCCCAGAAACGTATAATGATTTGGGAATTCCTTGTGGAGGTATACCGCCCGGTTCTCCTATTTCAGACCAAAACATGTCATTTGCAAACCCGTTTTCAGACGTGGCCCCTAAGAAATTATGTCATCATGACTTAGATAAGAACAGCAACAAAAAAAATATTTCTTAAAAGCCATTTCGAATTCGCATGTTTCTCTATCTTTCTTTCTCATTTGGAATTGAAACAATAAATACGTTCAAACACTCCTGTAGTTCCCTCGAAACCCATACTCGATTCCAGACCAAAATGGGCAAAGTGTATACCAGTTTTAAGACCAACAAGGCGCAAAAACCCTACCCTTTGGGGTGGCACAAACCTGTATAGCTTATATAAGGGAGTACCCCCGGGGTCTGCATCTAATAGTGGTGTCCATTAATTAAGAGAGTCACGTTGACTTAAGTGCACACTTAATCTTAACAACCCTCATTGTGGTCAGTCATGAGAGCTAAGCTAACCCCTAAATGGAGGTTGAATTTAGGTTTTGAGACCCAGAAAAAATGTTCCTTTTCCCCTGAATAGAGGTGTCCCTTCAACAAAGGTAACAGGTACGAAGATTATGTGAACATTTTTCCGGAACCAAATTTTGTGTCCCCGGGATGGTGATGTCCCAAAGAAGAGGTTCTAGTGTTGATGTGTGCCCTGTAGGTTCTCAAACCTTTACCCTATTTACCCCTCTAAGACATAAAAACCATTATTTTAATGAAACCGTACTGAAGGATATATTGGACAAAAATTTAAAAGAGTTTCAACATGTAGGTATGTAAAATGGCAAACACATTGAACAATAAATTGTACTTCATATTTCGTTTATTTTTTCAAAACTTTACTTCTTTCATACAAAATTTCCGTTTTTGCTATTTACAACACCATCATTTAAACTGAAATAGGATATATTTCAGTGAAACATGGGTAACTGACAATGATGCCATCAATGGCTGCTTGTCACTACTGGTTCATTTAACCTTGAGCTTTCGCAAAACAAAACACAATATCCAAAGTAAATAAAAAAAACTAAACTCAACAACTGAAATCCTATGTACACGCCAGTTCCAAAATTCTACCGCTTGTGAGCTTTTATTTTATTTTCTTGACTTGTTCTGTCAATCTCAGAGACATCCACTGTAACTTCATGTGATATAGAACCTTGTAATGTGATGGGGGAGGCTGCCTTGAGATAGTCTGAATTGTTCAAATTAAATGGAGGTGTCTCTGAAACATCTTCTGGTTCAGTTGTGTACTCTTCGTTTACTTGAAGAAGTGTGCGTGATCGGACTGAAAATAAACCAAAAAATAATGAATGACGAAGTGTGCAAGTTTTTGACCTGATCAGAAGTAGGTCAAAATTTTTGGCCTGTACGGTCCATTTTAGCTTGTGTTAATACCCGAACCATGCAAGTCTTTGCAGAGTTTGCACATTAAAAGCCTAAAGCCTAGTTAGGTGTCTTTACTAAAGGCCATTCCAATGATGACACCAGCAAAAATTTGTTCAGACTCATGTTAACAGTGCTGTAACAGAATTTGCATGGCTCTGTGTAAATGGTTGGCACCAGTAAAAAAATTTTTCCTGACCTGTGTAAACAGGGTCTGAAATAGCCATCTAATTTTTATTGGCCACTTTGAGGTAACCCAGGAGACTGGGTAACTGTTGTCTCAAATTGCACCATGGGACTGTTTTTGTTAAATTGGCTATGAGAGGGTTGCCTAGGAAACTGGGTTAAAGTTCATCCCCAGGCCTGTCCTATTGTCAAATTTAGCATAACACAGGCTCATTCTCGAGTCCATCAAATACTGGTTGTCTTAATGCGGTGGACATATTTACACAGTTTCCAGAAAAGAAAAAGTTAAAATAATGTGATCATTTGCCAAGGTGGTCATTGAGGCAGGGTTCCATAGTTAAGTTTTGTATGCTGGATAGACACTTCTTTGAAACACACAGCTAGTATTAGTCCCCATGAAATTAGTTCATAAAAGGATATAGCTTTCCCATTACCCCTATTTAATTTGTGAAAGGTTCAATGCCCTTGAGTTCATCTCTCTGGTTTCACCCTCTCTCACAGTGACGCTCCTACTGAAATAATGACTCACCAATAGCTGGAGCATATTTTGCCACAGTATCTTTCTGCTCTCCCAAGTTCATATTATTAATAGGAAAAAGGACCAGACCAAAAGCCAGAAACAGCACCATCAGACATGTGCCAGCCTGGGCTTTTGTCGGGTGGGTAGATGCTACCAGTGCTTGGAGCTCTTTCAGTTGGTCAAGAAGAGACCTAAAAGAACATTAATTTTGGAAGCCTCATCAATCTACTGGCATATTTTACAAGTACCAAATTATTGATAAAAATAATAATGATGATCATTTTTAAGACATAACAGTTTCTTTTTCAAGCATGAAATTATTGTTTTCCTTTAGGTATTACAATAGCCATGCACCCTTTTGTTTTTTTTTCCATGCAATTTATTGATTAGAAGTGAACCTGGAGAATACTAAATTGACCTCATCCCAGAATGAGTCTCCAATGTTCATTAATTTGTTTTTCATTACCTGGCCATAAGCTTCAGCCTCAGCCATTCAACAGGTAAATTTATGTACCCATCAAAGGAATCTGACATGGACACTGATATTGCACTCTTTTGCACAATTAACAAATCAAAAAAATGTGGCAACTTACTTGTTTTGCTTTTCCAAATTAGCCACCTTCTTTGTTAGATTATGGTTGAGTTCTGTGCAGGCTTTTACCCTAAAAAAAGAATTTCATCTTGTTATGATGTGGTTCAGTATAATGTTCAATATTGTTTTGAAGACATTAAGGTACATTACTACACCTACAGGTAAGAACAAAGGAGACTAAAATTTAGCTCCAGAGATAAAAAATAACCTGCAACAAGTGTCCTTTGAACACAATAATTTTAAACTAATCAGGCAATCATATTTTGTTTAGGTCAGGACAACTTGAGACCTGCCATGGTTCAAATGCATTCATATCATAAGTACATTTAAATAAATTCAACAAACCTCTCCTCCAATCCTCCAACATAATCTTTCTTCTTCCGCCTACTTTCTTGTGCGGATTGCTACCAACAAGAAATCAGTTCAATGTCAGAGAAGGGCTAGTAATGGCTAAAACTTACCAAACTTAACAATTAAAAAATATGTTACATTGAAGGAACCTTCATGTATTAAAAAAAATGATATTGAGTTAACTTGGCATTAGCAAGTCACATACCTTGTTCTTAATTTTCCTTCTAACTTTCTTTAACACTTTTTCTTCAGCCTGGGATGTTAAAAAAAACATAGGTAAAGCTAAACAATGTGTATGAATTTACAAAAAGAAGTGGATGATGTTTCATTAATGTCTTGTAAAATTGCAAAAATTTCTGTGAAAATAAAAGCAAATTTTGTTTTAAAATTTCTTTACCTTTGTCAGTGGCATATCTGTGGGCAGTGTGACCCCTTCTAATTCCAACAATCTCAGCTCCTCACTTGTTAGCACAAGTGTCTTTGACTAAATCAGCAAAATAAAATAGGATGAATTTATCATTTAGATGGGACCCGGTACAATGTAAGTAGTACACTTAATTTACAACTATCTCGCCCATGCTCCTATTAAGGAAATTATGGGGAAATCTGGCGGCCGTTACCGGATGAGAGATAGTAACCTGAGATAGAGCAGGGTGGGATAAGGAGGGAAGAGAGAAAAAAAAAAACCACCAGAAGAGGAGCCACGAAGCAGAGAGTGGGCAAGGAAAGGTGTAAAGCCATATATAGCAACCACTGAAGTGTATTCTCTTGAAGGTGATAAAGAAGATTATGAATGCAAGGTGTATGTGTCTTATATAGTCGCTTAGGTGAGACCGCTGTAAATACTACGTCTAATGAGCAATTATTTATTTCATGTTCTCTGTATTGACAAATAATTTTACATATGATGCATGTTGCCCTACTGGTACATTGTATGTAGTGATGGGGAGATTATTTCATGAGAGTCAACGCACAACATATTTTTGATGAAAGAAACCTGGATGAAACAATAGCAGGTCTAATATTAAACACATTTCACAGGTCAATAGTACAGAACTGACTGAGCCAAACAGTGTTTCCGCAGCAGCTTGGATGGTCATTATTAGGCCTTTGAGACACCTATGTCTTGCTTATTTACATGTATCTGTAACACAGTCACCTGAACTCTGACCTGTAGAATGTGATCATTTAATATATAGGTACAGTGTATGTACAGTGGAACTTCATAAAATCGACATGTGTGAGCTATGAAATCCTGGGGTCAATTTAATAAAACTTTTACACGTGTAATTTAGTGCAGCCATTGTTTTAGAGTCTGACAACTTGTAAATTACACATATAAAAGTTTTATTAAATTGAGCCCTGGTTGTTTTAATGAGGTGGTTGTACCAACAAGGTTTTCACCTTCATAAAAAAAATAAGGACTAAGCCTTGGACAAAATACTGTAGTTATGATATCAAGGTAGTTGTATACTTCAAAAATTCCTCATGTAGAATTATCAGTGCATTCAAAGCAGGTTGTCAGGTATCAATGAAACATGAATCTCTTTCAAGTGGAACAAACTTCTCCTACACTTTGTCTCAGTAATGTGAGGAGTCTGGTAAGGAGAATCTGTTTCTTCATCCAGGCTTTGAATGGTTAATGATAAAATGACTGCAGACAATAAAACAGTGTCCCTACACTTACTCGGTTAATAAGAGAGACAGTTGGTTGGCCTGCAGTTGTTGTTGTTGTCGTTGTTGTTGCTGTTCTGGATGGCATGACTGTCACTGTACATGTAGTTGCAGGTGTTACAGAAGTTGGCAGACAAGCTGTGGTGATTGTTGTCAACTCTG